GCCTAAGGCTAATGTAGCTCCTTGTTTATCCAACTTATCAAAATACATGTACACCTGTACATGTAGGTTAAACATACCATACATGTACATGTAAAAGTCTCAAATTGGAACAAAAATTCAATGTAAACACTTCAGTCTGTAGGGGGGTACCATTGAATGTTTGTATATGTACATTTATTGTATATGTAGTGCACATTCACATCTGCATTGGTACCAGCAGCATACATGGCATAGGCCTGCATGTGCCTGGACTTCTAGTTATACTGTACATGTACATGTACGCTTATGTCAGCCACTCAGGGCAGTGCAGGCATAATGTCTGCAGTGCTCAAGGCCATGTGGCTTTTTGCTGGGTTTTGTGTGACAGTGAAATGAGTCATGATTTATTCACATGTAAGATGGTGCATGTACATGTACCTGCATTGTACAATGTACATTACCTGAACTGGCACATGAATGCTTGTGTGGTAAACCATGGTGAAACACAAGATTATCCCAATTCAAAGCATGAACTCCGTCCTTTGTTAAATAGAATTGTTTCCACTTGGAAAATACATGTACATGTACATGCTCCAGTAGGCCTACATGTACATGTACGTGTATGTACATGTATGTACCGTACTGACCAGTACATTTATTATTAGCTTTTGGACAGTAGGATTATGTATTGCATAAATTTCAGTAAATACATATGCACACACAGTACACTTGTACAAGTACCATATAAATTCATTCAGTCGAAGTTGAAGCAGGCATTTAACACATCAAATTACCAGTATATTTGGGCATTACTTTTTAAATTAGTAAATATGCACGTACGTTGTACACTAAATGTCACATTGTCCTGTATGTGTACATGTACATGTACCGGTAGGTACATCAAAAAAGACTGCCTTTAGGCTGCTATACATGTACATGTGCATGCAATTGTGGTCATGGACATGTACAGTACTGTACATACATGTACATACAGTACATGTATGGTAATATGTAACAGGTGTTTCCTACTGCTTCATGCACAAGTATAAATACATGTGGTACAAGTACATGTACATGTTGGTTATGTATCGGTACGTCATGTGATGGAGCTGAACACTGTAGCCCTGTAGGTTTGCTGAATGAAAATTATGATTATGAAGCTGCTCAAACTTGTACATGTACATGTACATCATGTACACGTACATGCACTACAGTGAAAAGTCAGGTTAAAGCCATATAAAACAAAGTTGGAGCAGTAAGCAGGAATAGCAGAAACAGATGCATGTATCATGTGCCACATCTTGGTAGAAATGGTGTTGAAGGGTCTGCATGTACATGTACCATACCAGTACTGGTAGTTGTGTTGCACACGTGTGCTCATGTACATGTACATGTAGATGTACATGTGTCAGTCCAACCATTGTGCAACTGACAAGTGTGTGGAGATTTTTATTTATAACAAGAAATCAATAATAGAAATCACACTGCAGTATTGTGTTTGCTATAGAAAAAAAAATTTACTCTAACTTCCTTCTCAAAAATGTACTGTACATGTACTGTATGTACATGTACCCATACATGCTCTGTGTATGTGCGCGCCTGCATGTACATGCACCCATATATGCTCTGTGCATGAACGCACCTGTGTGTACATATGTACATGTACATCCATCCGTGGAAGTATACATGTAGGTAAACATCTAGATTTTGTGTGTTTCCCTGTTTGTGCACATGTGTCATGCACATACATTTTACAAAAGAAAATCAAATGTACAAATCACAGTAGACACAAACAATTTTTAGTTTCAGAATACATGTACATGTACCAATATACATGTATCAGAAGTCTTAATAATTTTGCTTTTGTATCCCTTGGATACCATCATGAGCCTTATTCACATTGTTACCATCGTTTTAATGATATTATGTCCACTGTACACCGTATTACACCTGTATGTACATATGCATGTACATGTACAGGTGTACATGTACATGTATGTTATTATGCACATTTGACTTTCGGCGGGTTTTCTGATCTTGAATGCAGTACGTGACATTGGTTGTTACCCTTGACCCACTGTCCACATGACATCAAAAGACGTACTTCTAGATGCTAGGCACATTAGTCTCTTTTCCTTTTTTTCTGGCTGCTTTTGGAAAGTTGACCCATAGACTCTGTATTCATTATTTTTGTATGGAACAGTGTAGGACATACCGGTAAGAAATGCTAATTGGGCCTTCTCTAGGGACATGGCCTTTTTGAGAGGCCTGAAGTTTGATTTAATTATGAATACCAGTTTGCATTACCTGTACATGTGTATGTAGGTGTATGTGCATTGTGCACATTAACAAGGCCCTATTTTGTATCACTTTCTGTGCCCCCCCCCCAAAAAAATAAGAGAGATGTCTTGCAAAAATTAAAAGTACTGGCAAATATTGACTCCATGTTATCACTATTCAATGTGACATACATGTACAATGTACCGGTACACATGAGACATACATACTGTACCTCTACATGTAACTTTACATAATTATGTAATTAAAGCATGTCTTGACAAACTACATGTACTGCAGTATACACATGTACCGGGTGTGTGTACCAATATTTTCAATGTTGGCATGGTTTTCTCAAAATAAGTCACATTGGGTCACTTGAAAATTAATATACGTACATTGTACATGTAAGAAGCAAATAAAAATACTGCATCTCCAAAAATCCACAGAGGTTAAAAAAGTGAAAGCACGGTTTGTGGTCTTTAAGTTTCTTCTCTTGAGGGCGCCGGTAACATGTACAATTATTGTTTTTATTTTGCTATTTGAAAACTTGTATATTCAAAGCTTTCATTTGTTTACATTTACTTGTACTTGGGGGAGGTACGGTACTTTGAAATTTTTGCCAAGGAACCTTCCTGAATTACTTGAAATCATCCACAATGCACCATATATTTGACAGGAATCCAACCCTAGAAACAAACATGCAAGGGTTGCTGACGGAGTTGGAATTACTTTGATTGTATTGACAGGTGATGATGGCTCTTGGCCACCACCTTAACATGGTAGAGGCTGAGAAACAGAAGTTACGAGCCCAGGTAAGGCGGTTAGTTCAAGAGAATGCCTGGTTGAGGGATGAACTAGCAGCCACGCAACAGAAACTACAGACCAGTGAACAGAACTTGGCAGAACTGGAAGAAAAATATAAACACCTAGAATACATGAATTCCATAAAGAAATATGACGAGGACCGCACACCTGATGTAAGTGATTGATACTCTGTGTTTCAGTTTTATGCTGTTCTTTATTATTATGGTTCTCGTTTCTGACAAGTAATGTACGGTACGTAGGAACAGCAGATCTTTGCTGTAGCAACACGTCTTCAGGATGCTTCATACTGTAGGTGGATATGAAAGCAAAGTGAATTTAATACCATGAAAATATAGTTGCAGCAACGTTTTGCTCAAGTTGAAATAAATTTCACTCGTGCAGATTCAAATATTTCATTTTGACATCATAAAATTGCATTTGTGCTTACTTTCATGCAAAGTACATGTACATGCACGAATTGGCCTTTACTCATCACCTTGTATGCACATGTACTGATATGTTGATGTGTATGACTCACACCCGTATCATTTTCATCTTAAGTTCACATACTGTCCATGTACATGTACGTCTCAAAGTCCTCAACATACATGTACTGCGGTACCGGTAATTTCTTATCCAAGAACAGCATCATCTTATCAACTTGATTGATACGGCACCATGGTCATCCTTCTCTTGGCTGTCTTCTTCACCATTCATTCTAGATTTTATGGAATGTGTAGACATTGCATCATGTACCGGTGCATTGACTTACTCCTTTATCTTCCAGGTAGTTTTGACTTACCAATCTTGCTCCATTATTGCCATTTCAAATCTAGAAGCTCTGTCTTGTTGAGCAGTCACTGTTCTTTGCTTCAATGCATCCTCTGTAACCCAGTACTGGTACATGTACATGTACATGATTTGTTCATTTATGTTGTTCACCAGACTGAGGAAACAGCAGAACCCTTGGATTTGGGCTTCCCCGAAGATGAAGATGATCAACAACAACCAGAGGGTAAGTAGAAAAATTCTGACAAAACTGAGAAAAATGTCAGGAGATGCTTTCTTGACCATTATCAGCCACAAAACTGGATCCTGTTTACACAACCAAAAACAACAGAGATTACAAAATATGTCTGAAAATAAAAAAAGCTAAAGTTACCACTGTTGCTCATAGACATTCAGTCCTAAGGCAAAACAAAGCAAACAGACATACAGCAGACAGCCAAGCAAACACTCACAAAACCAAAACGAAACTTACAGTTTGAAAACAGGAAACAAATGAACTTGTAAAAGGTATATGTTATAACCAACTGGCCTTGGAATAAAAATTATCAGTATCCGATCACAGAGTTACGGCATTTTGTTTTGACATTGTATACATGCACATGTTTTGTGCCCCTATCTATACAGTATGTACTTACCGGTAGCATATCGGTGTGTCAGTGTTCTCTCTGTCTTAACACGTCTCTATTTGTGCCATTTAGTGCAGATTTTACATACCGCATGGTATGTGTACAGTATACATGTACGATTTAGTAAGAGATTCCAGATAGTTTTTAGTCTTACTCGGGGACATTTGCCCGATAATTCGGCAGTACACATGTAGCATTGCCATTAGTAAATAAAGGAACATCATTATGATATACTGGAAGAATCTTCAATCTTTCACCTGTTGGAGGACTGAGGACTGTTCAGGGTAATAAGTCAGCATGTACATATAACCATGAGTAAGTTCTTTCAAGTGATATATGTTGAATACACTTACATGTGCTAAATACAGGCATAACGGCACCACAGATATCTACACAAGAGTGAAAAATATCAAGTTTTCATTTCATCTAATCATGCTACTATAGTAGAGATTGGACTTGGAACAAATTCTCTGTGCAGAAATACTGTACACGTTACACACGTAAGTGTGACATGTCTGCATAATGTGGATGGGGGATTAGGGGTACTCCACGTGTACATGGGCATGTCCTGAGATCCGTTTCATAGAAATTTTACTCATTTATGTGACATTTACTGTGAGTTATTTGCTTTGAGTCATGGACATTGTAATGGAGAGACCTGCGGTACATGTATGTGTACAGTTCTGTACATGTACACTGAATGCTCTCTGTCCCTTCTCCAGCAAGATAAGCATTTGAAGATATTGGTACATGTACTGATTGGAGGAGACTTGAAGCTGTGCATGGTGGGGATAGACTAAAGAGCCTTGGTCAAGGAGTTCGTCATTTGTCGCAGGGCAAAGCGCACCAGCCTCTCGCTGACCTAGCACAAACCTGCGTACGTACATACCTACATACATTGCAAAATAAAGATGAAGAGCGACCTCATGCGGCCTAAGAAATATGCAAATAAGCTGAACCACAACGAACGCCTTGGTGCAACCATCCTGCGGAAGCTGTATTGGGCTGTGCTTATTATGCTAATGACAAGAGCTGATGTTTTAAATATGCTTCTGGATTGGTTCATTGCTACATAGTAACTGCATAATTGAAGTCAGTCGTAAGGTGAAAGGTTAACTGAACGCACACGTGGCTGTACATGTATATGGCAAGTCAACATTATTTATTTTGCCGGCTGATCAGAGTAATCGGAGATTGAGTTCGCCTTTGCTTAACTTGGCTTTACTGATTGTGATTGATCTTTTTTTCAAATGACTAGCGCTATGGGCTTTGAATCTGGTCTGAGGAGCTCCGAGCAGAAAGGTGCAGCCTGAAAAATAACAGATTTCCCATAGCCTGTTGGCAAATTCACGAAAACGTCGTGTCCCTGCAGAAAGTATTCCAAGGCTTGCCGCTGCTCGGCACGGAAATCACCCAGCGTTAATTTATCTGCAGCGAAATTCAAGCAACAAGACAACTCGTCGTGCTGCAGTCGTCTCGGAAAGTCTGCCATTATTATGATGGTTATCATGCATGCCAGTTCACGTTGATGCATTATGCATACATACATGTATGTATGCTTAGCTGCGATTGGTCACTGTGCACTCATCGCACGCCTGCGTCTATGCATATTCGCATACGAGGTCATGTGCTAGTGGAAAAGTAAAGAAAACATAAGCTTCCGCGGACGGTTGCACCAAGGTATTCATCCTGGTTCGGCTGATTTGCATATTTCTTAGGCCGCGTGAGATCGCTTTTCACTTTGATGTTGCAATGTATGAAGGTATGTTCTAGGTCAGCGAGCGGCTGGTGTGCACTGTGCTGTGACGAATGACAAATGCCTTGACCAAAGCTACTAAAGAGAGGGCTTGCGGTAACACCATGTTGATAAGATCCTTTTTGGAAGAGGTATGGTTCTGATAAGAACCAGTGAGTGTGTACTCGACGTTACGACCAGTGTGCTCTGGTTGTCGAGTTCACATTCAACGGTTCTTTTCAGAACTACACCGCTTCCAAAAGAGATCTATCCACATGGTTTTACCGCAAGCCCGCTCTTTAATTTAAGATACTGACTAAAGAGTGTAGTGGCCCAGTTTACACCCTAGGGTACACTTATTTAATATGCACATGGGTGAGAGTGATCATGATTATTGAATGTCATTGTACATGTACATGTAAGTACAATGTACATGTACATGTGTAGATATTGGTGCATGTACATTTACGTAAACTCTGTATTGGTACATGAACAGGACATGATACAGTATGTTTGCATCTCGGTACATGTACATGTACGGTACACGTCCTGTATTAAAACAACCTTCAATTTTGAGGAACTTTCTGTGGAAAAAGGTTCCTGGAGTGCATGTCAAGTAATTTTATCAGTCATAGGGAAGTCGTACCGGTATATTCCTTTATTTTTATTGGCCCAAAACGTAAACTTGACAGAAAGCACTTTCAACAGATTTTCCATTTCATGGAAGTTTGGTACATACATTCATAGTAACTAAACAAATGTACCGATACATGTAACACTGTAGATGTACATGTACAATGTGAATTTAAAGATCGACTGACCTGGAATAATAGTGTCCTGGTTGGTGACAGGTGTTACAAGTTGTCCATTAACTAATAAAGCAAACATGAACGACTGAGTACATCTCTATATTAGTAAATCTTACGGTATAAGACCTTGTCTGAAATGATGAGCATTGCATGTAACATTTACATACATGTATACACATATATTTTGTATTTTTTAAATTGTATTCGTTTAAAGCAAGCACAAGGACAATGGCACTGTGCCAATGCGCAGTGTGCATGCTTTCCAACTTACATGTAATGCAGTGTTAATGTGTAGTTTTCAGTCAGCCCAGTTTTAGCAGGAGGGTTTGTGTACATATACACAATTGGACCATGATAATATTGTAACAGCACTTTGTAATGTCAAATAATTTATTGTATTATTAATTATCAGCTTTGTATTACACAGTGACTTTCAAGATACAAATAATGGCTAATGAATGGATTGAGGATAAAAATTTTCGTTGAAACATTACGTGTACATATACATATGTACATGTACACTCCTCGTAATTGCTGGCTGCATAGTTAATGACTATGAACATGAGATTCATTGGCAAGGAGACAAATCCCATTCCATTAACCCACAGTGTGTCATGTGTCTCAAGGCAGGACTGGGGACCCTCAAAGGAATTCAATTTACAGTCAAGAGGATTACATGTATTAGTCAAACCATCAGTGATCTTATGGTGTCGGACATGCAACTAGAGATGAAGCGTTTACGCATGAAAGTGCACACATACCGATAGATGTACATTGTACATCGGCACTGTACAGTTGCATTCTACCATTAGTTTAATTTGCTAGTACCTGTATAGTTAAGTATTTGGGAAGTAGTGCATACATTACATGAGATGTAGTGGTCAGTCATTGTCACAACGAAGGATGTCATTTGTAACTTTACTATTCTCTTGCACATGTACATGTATACCAGTAAATGTACTGGTATTCTATCTGTTCATATGGAATACTTGAATTTAGAATGGATAATCATAGTTTTCCCGTCAATGTTTCAGGTCATTTCTGGTAAAAATTTAAGAAGTGAAGATTACTTGACATTTTTGGTGATATTTCAGATCAATATCCTCAGCAGCAAGCCAGTCCAGGTGCTGCAGCCGCTGCTGCAGGTGGCTATGAGATCCCTGCTAGACTACGTACTCTGCATAACCTTGTCATACAGTACGCATCCCAGGGACGTTATGAGGTTGCTGTTCCTCTGTGCAAACAAGCCCTAGAGGATCTAGAGAAGACATCAGGTCATGACCATCCTGATGTGGCCACCATGCTGAATATTCTGGCCCTGGTCTACAGGTACTGTGCAGTTCTGTAGGTTGGTGAGGCAGAGGAAAGGGCCAAGTGTCAGGGGGCTGCTGCAGCATGCATACGAATTTGTTATTACATGTACATGTATGCAGAAGTACATTGAGGGAGCAAACCAAAAGAACACCCTTTCCCTGAAAGAAACTGTTAACGTTATAGAATGACTTTTGACATGGGTTGTACATACATGTTGAGAGAATATAATATGTTACACATTACTGCAGGGAAGAAAAATTTTCATCCTGAAAGTATCTTGCAAAAGTCAAAGATACAGTAGTTTTACCGATTATCATGTTTTGACATCTAGCGATAAAGGTAAACATCAGGCTCGGAGAACAAGCTTAGAGGTGCGATTTCAGACCAATTTTTTGGCACAAAATTCTGGATTATTTCATTGCATGTACATGTATTTGACATTTGCTACCTTATTGCAATACCCAAAACTAAAAAATGCAAGAATCACCATACTGTAGCCATTTTGGAAAGAACTCGGTATTTTACTGCTGCCATTGTTACAACCCCTCTGCTGAATATTTTATGGGTTTTTCTTCATTCAAGTATACCAACTCTTCATTACAGAGATCAGAATAAGTATAAGGAGGCAGGCAATCTATTACATGATGCCCTTGCCATCAGAGAGAAGACACTAGGGCCAGATCATCCAGCGGTAAGTACATGTACATCCATCCCAGTTACGTGTCTACAAATGTATACCCCGATAAACTGCTCTGCCCACTCAATGACTATATCATGCCCAATCCCATTAAACCATATTAGAGTTTTTAAATTCTTAGCTAAGCTCCTTGAGCTGAATTTCAGTACGTATTGGTGATAATTCTTTTTACAAATACATGTAGGTTTTTCCCCCAAAGTGCTGTATATACACCATGTTTCCTTCATGTATTGAAAAAGACCAAAAATATGAAAGAATTTGTCGTTTGAGGTGGAAATTTAGTTTTGTGTGTACATTTTGTGTATACTGTATGTGTACTTGACATTATTTCTGTTTAGAAAAAAGGACATGAATGAAGCATACGTGTGCAGGTACATACCTGGTACTGGCAAAACAATCCGGGTTTTTGGTATCCATTTTATTGCTAACATACTGCGAAAAACTCCGCGATTACAAATATTTCTTTACGTTGAACAAAACAGAAAATATTGATGTATTGATTTTTGATACCGGTAGGTTGCAGCTACATTAAACAACCTGGCTGTTCTCTATGGCAAGAGAGCCAAGTACAAGGAAGCTGAACCTCTCTGTAAGAGAGCCTTGGAAATTCGAGAAAAGGTTAGTCAAATCTTGCAGATGAAGCTTGAATGCTTCAGTTTTCACTATTTCTAGACTTTGTAGAACCAAACAGCCATGTGGATGCCTGAATGTTTCTATGTTTGTGCATATCAGATGCTAATGAGAACCATTTCTTCATGGTAATAAGAGGATAGCAGTATGTGGTTTCATGCATGGGAGATCAAAAGTTATTAAAGTCAAAAAGAGGTTTCATGTGATGTTACATGACTGACAAAGGCATTTCAGGAAGTATACTGTGTCCATGGCTGCACATGCATTCTCAAATCTTAATACTTTTATTGACAGTTTTATGTATGCCAGATTATTGAGAGGCTTCGAAGGCATGCCCATTTCTGAACACATCTGTGTAGATTGAATGCTGACCAGCAAAAATGACCTGACTGAAAATCCTCTAGATCTATAGCAAGTGCAGTGAAAAGTGAAATAACTTGTAGTGTAGCCAGTCTGCCCTTTCAGTTCTACTTTGAAGCGAAACGTCACATTACAACAGTGCTATATGGACCATCTCCAGCAGGGGAGTAAATTCAGTTAGTCTTGCCATCTGTTGACCCATGGGAATCCCTTTCTTCATGCACAATCAATACTTATCACCTTAGTTTTTTTCTCTCTTATTTGACCTAGGTGCTGGGAACCGGTCATCCAGATGTTGCTAAGCAACTGAACAATCTAGCCCTACTGTGTCAGAACCAAGGCAAATATGAGGAGGTAGGTTTGGGTCAGGCATCAAGCTAAGATGATGGAGGTGAAAGTTGAGTTGTTAAATATTCGAGGATTGATTAAGAAGTTACAAGAGATGAAAGGTTAAATGTTGGATTGGCAGAAGGTAGGTTAACATTAGGCATCGGGTCAAGTGAGCAGAGGCTTGCTTGCAAGATCATCAGTGATCTAGGGGTAAATATTGGAGAGCCTTGAGATGAATTTGGGAAGAAGTACATTAGGAGTTAATCTTCTCTGATTTGTGTTTTTGGACAGTGGGTAGGTTTTCTCGATATTCAATAAAATGTATATTTCAGCTCTTCATGTGTTGAATGAGATTGAGTTCATGATTTTTACCAAATACAAAATCTGACAAAAATATGTGTGTTCCGTTGTGCAGCAAAACACATCAAACCTCAGTTAACCGAGGATCCTGACAAATCTCCTTGTCTTAGTAACGTTTATGGCAATAGAATGAAGTATGTGCCTATGAAATACCGGTACACTAATAAATCTTTTCAAAAATCTTTTGCAGGTAGTTATTACTGTATTCCTTTTGCTGTAGTCTCCTGATTTAAAAAGTTACAGTATTGTGACTTAGTGAATTTTCAACTTGCTATAAATTCGGTGAGATTTTATTAAATTTTCAGAAAGCTAAAACCAAAATATGCATATTTGTTTGTTTAGGTCGAATGGTATTACAAACGAGCCCTCGAAATCTACGAAACCAAGCTTGGACCTGATGACCCCAACGTTGCCAAGACCAAAAACAACTTGGCGTCTGCCTACCTGAAACAAGGCAAATACAAGGCAGCTGAGACTTTGTACAAGCAAGTCCTGACAAGAGCACATGAGAGAGAGTTTGGAGGGACGGATGATAAAGATATCAAACCAATATGGATGCAGGCTGAAGAGAGACAGGAGAAGGTACAATATGGCTCCAGAGTTACAACTACTGTATGTCTCTTGTCAGTTTGACCCTGCATGCTTGTATTTCCAATAGGTGAAGACTTACATGTACATGTAGACCTAGCTCAGGACAACAGACTTGGTTGCAGACTCCGTTTGACTTGTAGGATGAGGGTACTTAATTGGGTTGTGCTGTTTTCCACCTTAATACCCTCACTCCTCAACCAGAAATGACAACAGACTTGGTTGCAGACTCCGTTTGACTTGTAGGATGAGGGTACTTAATCGGGTTGTGCTGTTTTTCCACCTTAATACCCTCACTTCTCATCCACAAATGAGCATGAAACGTACCAAGTGTGAGGTACAAAAATGGAGTTTATGTACAACCACGCTACATGGACATGTGTGTTATTACAGAAATCAAAACCGTGTCTTTTATTGCAATGTCAGTTTCAAGATGTTCACAGAACACGTAGAACTGGATATGCCTTTTGGTTGATTTTATTCTGTGTGGTTTATGTGGTTCATCGGGTGGCTTACAGAAATCCATTAAGAGGTTTTTTATAAAAGAAGTTGGAAACTTGCATTGTATGTAGATGAAATTTCCCTTTTTCCAATAGAAGTAGCCAGTTTTTATTTAGTGATCTGATGTTATTCTACTTTTTAATCTGCATCCTGGTCACAGGGCAAGTTCAAAGACAATGCTCCCTATGGTGAATATGGTGGGTGGCATAAAGCAGCCAAAGTTGACAGGTGGGTACCTTCTGTCCAGAACTGTGTTGATGTCTCGTAATCACCCTTGATGCTTAAAGACCAACTCCCAACGATGCTAACTTTTCTCATATTGAATCCTATTCAGAAGAGCCAAGTCTAATAAAAGTGGCACATATTAATATCTCCATTGCAGTACACGTTTTGTATTAATAAAAACACAGTTTTTGTACCCATTTTCCCTGCGAATCCAGTCCGGTATTGTAAACATGACCGTATCGTCATGACATGTTAGCATCTAATGAATATTGATTTTTGTGATGTATTACCATGGAGAGGAAATGCTACAGTGGGTGTGCTTTAGGCATGCATAGCATACATACCGGTACCGGTACATAGCAATAATTAAGTTGGTCCTCGTTTCTCCTGGGACACAAGTATTGTTATTAGTCAAGCAAGTACATCACAGAGATCATACACACAGTGTCGTGAACAGAACAACAAACTACAGAGATCAACGACCGGTATTCAGCTTGCAGTGTTTCAGTGGTGAAAAAGAAACACAGATGAACTGAAACGACATGCGCAACAACAAATAAAAAGACGGAAAACAGCTCTATGAAGTCTCAAACTGAAAGAAAAGGAAAAATCTCAACGAATGGTTGCAATTTGGATATGTCTAGAGTATTCGGGTGAAGCAACTATAACAGCGCAAACCACTGAAATATCCACACAAAGAACAAGTGTCAATTGATGCAAGGTACTATAAAGTCAGTGAAACTTATACAATGTCAAATGGGGGTAGGCCTTAGCAGGTCCTTCTTTCTTTCTTCAAAAGTGGATGGTGGACAACATTCCATGGGGATAACGTGGACTACTAGGGACTGACCAATCTGGTCCTAGCTCTGGGCCACGTTGTCCAGCGTGATCATGCTCTTCCCTGCTACAGGCAGAAACTGCAAGCCTGGCATTCCTTTTGGGTTGTATCTGGAACTTTGTCCTTGGGGGAAAAAAATTGGTTTTACCGTGGGAAGTCAAATCCAAGAAATTTTGTCAGACCAAAAATTATATTTTTTCCCAAAGTTACACAGGGTCCAAAATTCAGTTCCATTAAAACATTTTTATTTTAGCTAGTATTAGATTCAGTTGGATTCTGATATCTGAAGTCTGGTAGTTGGTAAAATACATTCAGGTTAATAACTAAGCCTAAAGTGCAAAATCAGGGTATTTCAAGACCATTCGTTTATGCAAATGATTGTATTCTATCTCTTGGATATTTGATCCAAAAATCTAACAATTGGGTGGTAGAAGTTCTAACCAGGTTCTCATAGTGTACATGTATGTGCCAGCACTTGTACTGGTGTCTAAAATTGATGAAAAAAACTGTTTGCCATTTATTAAAATGTTGTTATAAAAATGAACTTTTCTGGGAAAAACGTGCCTGTGAAATCTGCTTCCCACATGCAGGGTTAAGATTGATAGTGCAATTTTTGTCTGTTCAAGTGCTAGTAACGGCAAAATGCTTGCAAATTCCCCGTGCTGAATGAACGTAATTTTGTTGTTCATATTGTAGTAGTAGTCCCACAGTGACAACAACTCTCAAGAACCTTGGCGCCCTCTACAGACGACAAGGCAAATACGAAGCAGCCGAAATTCTTGAAGAATGTGCCATGAGGTCACGGAAAAATGTGAGTCATGCGACGTTTGCAGTAGGTTAAAGGTGGTTCTCAGGAAATGTGACAAAAGATTTGGTCCAAGAATTTGCACTCATCAAAGTCACATGGAAAAACTAGGATTTATAGAGTACACATTGCTTGTAAGGTTTTATTTGAGGTTGTTTTCTGGCTGTGTTGGCTTTTGGACGAAGAAAAATACTTATCACCTGCATCCTCACCTAACACGTTCTACGCATGTATCTTGGCATTTGGTTCAGAGATATTTATACACACATGGATCCTATACATTCTACCCTAAATCACACATGCTGGTGACTGATAGCTATTATGGGGAGAAATTCCTTTTAGAAATAAATTTTTGTCACCGTGACTCAGTCCAAAATTTCCCCAAAACGGAAATTGTCCCCTCTTACCAGTGCCAAAGACAGCACATACACATACATTCAGTGTCCCTATTTGTACTCATAAAATCTGAAAAAGGGGGAGCTTTGTGCATGTAAATGTACACATACTGGACAGTCGAGATAATTTTGCAGATTTGAAAACAAGGCCCATGCCATCAATCTTAAAAGTAGTTTGCTCCTGGCAGCAGAAGCAGGCGCTTTTATAGAAGCCTTCATCTTTTCCTGCCAGGATGTGCAATTATCTTTAGAAATTGAAAATAATAAACAGGGAATGATTCAGGTGTCAGAGTTTTTTCTGAAGCCTTGATATCCAAATTTATCATTCCTCAATGATTTTTGATGTCTAGCAGGCAGCCGATGCCGTGAAAGAATCTAGGGTAAGAGAGCTTCTCAACAAAGACCTCTCTACTGATGTCCCACGCCATGAAGCTAACCGTAAGCATGATCATAGGCGGGGTGGCAGTGGCCCTGGCTCCCGACGAGAGAGTACAGACAGCGTCTCGTATGAGAAGCATGATGGGACAGAAGAAGTGAGTATTGGAGCTGTTTGGAGTGGGGTAAGTACTGTGGTATTTGTTTGACCATGCTGGCCACTGTTCTCTCACAGAGCACAAGCAAACCCAAAAAAACATTGTTTGGGGTTTTGTCGGAATTATGTGTTAGCAGTGTTCCCATTTGGGCATAAAAGGTGCTTGGTTCTCTGATTGGTGGGTATTGTCCAGTTAGTGTTGGAGCTGGGTTTGCTGTTGATACATGTAAAGCATGTTTCTGGAGTAATGGCTACAGTCTGGGGCTATTGAGCAGCTGTCTGCACGTTGGGATTTTCTTTTCCTGTGAGCACAATTTGACTTACAAGAATTCTAGTTAAATTCTGTTTAAATGCAAGACTTAACAACAGTTTAAAAGTCTCATAAAGAACTGTCTCATAAAGAACTGTTGCTACACGTAGTTCAAGCAAGCTAAATTTAACAAGGTATTAAAAATTTTAAATATTTTCACCACTAAAAATTCTGTAATACATGTATTTAATTGGAACATTTAGAGCATGATTAATCATGGTTCTATTCATTAAAATAACAGCAAACATCTGTAATACAATGGCACATTCATCCTATCTCTGTTTACATCTGACAACTATCAGTATTTAAGTTGAGTTGATTTTAGAGAACTACATTAAGTGGTACTATTTCACAAGAGGAAAATTTAGTACAACAGTGATCTTTATCTGTTAAAACTAACGATAAATCCAAACAATAGAGACATCCTTCATGTTTTATTAACAGATGAGATTTCTTTTATGGTTTACCTTTTTCTGGTAGATTCCCATTAACAAACTGTTGCATTGATTATTGAACCATTTACAAGAAAACAAAATGTCAAGAGAAAAGAAATTTTATTAGCATTAAGGCTTTTAATTACCTGCAAGTCCTAGAAAGAGCTGAAGTGGAAACCCCAAAATGTTGATATTTTAGGGTTAAAATTTTTAACAAATAAAAACCTGCTGCAAATGCCTACCAAATGTGGTGACATGAAAAGGAGTTCCAGGATTTAGCCTGAACAAACGCTTCCAAAATTGAATAGGAACATCTGAGTGTGCAGTGTTTGTCTTGTCTTGGTGATTGTTTTGTTGTGAGTTTAAGCGGTGGTGGCACTCATGCGTCAGCTGATTTAGTTTGGCACATTAAAGACATCTTTCACCTTAGCTAATGTGTGTTTTAGCATTCTCAAACCACATCAAATGTTATTGTTTTCACTTGGTTGCTGTCTGTCACCTTTTGTTTTGGCTCTTTGTGTGCAAAGCTTTGCTTCCAATGTAGTTTAGGCGTGCAGATTTGATACAAATTTGTATAGAGAAACTTGCAGGGGTTGAGGTACAGGGGTTTAAAGTTCATTTGAAAGCTGTAAAGTTGGATTATTTCTTTCTGGAAAAATCTGTCTTACTGATACCAGTGCCATACATGTACCCGACAAAACATGTACTGTATGTCTGTGGGCTGCAGTAAAGTGGACAACATTTTTTGTGAATGTTATTACAGCAGCAGGGTTAAAACATCCTTTCTAAAAATGGCTTGCCATGAAAACTAAAAGTGTTGGAATTTTGAAAGATGACATTCCTGTTGACAGACTCAGTTGGTAATCCATAACCCTACATGTATGCCAGTTTGAAAACTAACTTGTACATGTTCCAGTGTACATGAGTGTGTTGCAAATGACCAACGATAAGCATTTCAAATTGGTGTTCACCTCCACAGTTACCAGCGGCATTATGAGGGCAAGTGACAAGATGATGAAAAATGTGTTTTTCTGCAACAGGTTTCAGGGATGACCAGTTGAAATGAGCACAGACTAATGGCAAAAAAACTTAATTCTATCACTTTTGTCCAAGAAATGTGTAAAAGAAAGTCATTTGAAGATGCAGACATGTATTGAGGACAGTATGTTCGTCTAGAAAAACTGTGCCCTCCTTGTATCAGTACTTTACCGTTACTAACTTGTCAATAACTCCTGTGTGTATACAGGTATTTAGAAACCTTTTGGCATGTTTGGTTTATACATTTCTCCAAATTCCCTGTAATTCCTCTGCTAATACAAGTACACTTAAATGCTGCTAACACAACTGCTGCTTCTGTTTTAATGTATCCATGCATATGGTATGCTTTGCTTTCCACATCCTTGTTAGGGCTCAACACTCCTGGAATGGGAAATTCAGACATTTGATACGCACTTGGGTTTCAGTCGTAAAAACACTTTCAAAAGTAACATTATCAGTAAGTACTGTAAGCAACTCCTGAGCCACTTACTGATGAAGAGTCCTACATTTTATGGAAAGGCTCTTAATATCAGAGAAACTCTTTAAATTCAGGTACATGTATTGAGAAATTGTTACTCTAAGTCCAATTTTATCAAACATCTTTCTGGGAATTTGGATCCCTGTTAAAAAAAAACACTTGTTTCTATTTAGGAAAGGTTGGGGATGGAAGTATAGCAACTTGTCATTTGTTGATTGTGCCCTTTTCCCCTTTTTTTCCATTGATAACATTCATTTCATGCAGCTCAAACATAACGGTACATGTAAACCACCTTTCCATGTTTTACATACATGTATGTGAGCTAGAAGTTCCTTTACATGTAACACATCTGCCAAATTTCAACTTTCCACGTAATCAACTAGCAGCTATAAGCTTACACTATTTTATTTTTAAAATATGAGGTTGACTGAGTTATTTCCTTTCATTGTGTTGTCTTCAACCAATTTCAGTAGGCAAGTTAAAACACATTCTGCCGAAGATTTGCAGTTCTTGTATGATATGTACATAATGTACATGTAGGGAGTCATTGTGCTACGTGTCACAAAGTGAAAGTAAATTGTGGTGGTATTTTGAAATATGCAATATGTCTGAAAATGTAGGCTGTGTTTGAGTGTGTTACTCATACTCCTGAGTGCACAAATGACAGGAGTACATGTGTAAAATGCAAGTAAGCAAGACTAAATTCTTGCTTGAGCTGGGATTACTGTTTACTACACCTCATAAATATTCATGAGCAAATTGGAGCGCGTCATTGGCCAATCCCACCTCGTGTCAGGGAAGTAGAAATGATATGCGACCAGGTGACATCATAGCGGTGAGTATCCACCTTGCTGCCATACGGTAGTTTTTTCTGGTAGCATCAACGAATCCCTCTGGAACCCGCTGCGTAAATATGTAGTCTGTGTCATGTAATCTTTACGGAACCAGCCTATCTGGAGTTGTATCCTAATAAATATTACAGTAAAGATCCAAAACGTATGTCAGCACCAGATTATGAAGCCCTGTTTTTATGCACATCTGCACTCCACTATCATTACATGGAAATTTAGCAACTGAGAAACCATCAATGGCGTCTGTGAGTACAAGTAACGCAAGATTTCTGTTTGAATATTTATGAGGTGTAGTAAAACAAAGACAATATGGTTTATTTCGGGAAAATAGTTGGAATTACTGGTCCCTTGGTGTAGGTCAGTTTGACTAGCTGCCTCCGCTTTGCAATACTCACGCATGTGGTTATTTCAAGATGACAGAAAGGTAAATACCATTCTTTCCATTTATGTGGTATGATCCTGGCGTAATGCACACACAGTTTTCATACACCCATGGTTATGGAGAGTAACACACTTGAAAACAGCCTGAATGTCACCATAGTCTGATTGAGCAGTAAATCTAAGACTTACATAACTAAAACCAAAGATAAGTGGTGACTCACAACTACCGTAGGGATTTCATCCAAATTCATGCATTTCTCAAGTCAAACTCTAATCATCTATGAGACATAGCTTTAGAGCCTATTGAAGAAAGCCCACATTGAAAGAGCACCATTTAAGCTCAAGTGATTCTTTTATTCTCTCCAAGTTCCATCGAATAAAATCAGAGCGTTGATATTAAAACAAGAAGCTTGGTATCATTTTGATATGTTCATAATGCCATTGCTGGTCAAACATACCTCAGTACATTTACCACTAACAGTTTTCATGTGGATATTCCTTGCCATTCAGACTGTGTCCTGTTTCTTATATTTTGGTCCCTTCTTTTATCAATAATTTGTTCTTTTATAGAATCATCCTGTTTCACCTCGGTAATCTATTTTGCAATGTTTCAGGAGAAGTGTTTATAGCAGATACAGAATTGTACTCGAGTTAATCACATGTTAATTACAAGTCACATCTCTGGTCAGGTTACCAGTAACAGGAGATGAACAATATAGAAATGCCTTTGTCACAGTTTAGTCAAATAGTCTCTGAATTGACTAGATGACTTTTGATTAACTTGTGAGGTGCTTTGAGTAAGGGTTATTGTACAAATGAAATTTTATACACTTATTTATATTTTGTATATTATTCCAAAATATCCTTTGTAGACATGATTCCAGTGTGCAGAATAGTTCAGATTATATGGAATTTGTTTCCATTGTTTTTTACATTTTATGATGCACATCCTCACAGCAAAGAACTTAACAAACAGTGATCATCGTCAGTCGTACATCACAGAAATTCTAACACATTCATTCTTTTCCTGTTTAATATTTACTTTTCAGCAATGAGGAATTCTTTCTAGTATTCAAATCTAACACCATTTAAAATAAGTTCTCAACTCAATTGTAATAATTACCTTGCAAGATAAAACTTTCCCCTACATCACATGTACATCAAAGTATAATTTTAACTCAAAAAAGTATACATTTGGAACTAATTCATTGATATTATGCACTTGATATTCCTGATTAAGGGTTCTCTTGCCTGACCGTTTCTTTTTTTGTTCAAGTTACAATTTCATTTACAATGTACCAAATTCTGTATTTTCAATATTTAACAAATTGTATGCACAGAGCATTTTTCCTCATTGTACCTGCGTACCAGTTTTAAATATTCTGTGTTGTTTTTGTTCCTGTTTTATGTTTTGTTGCGTTTGTTTTTTCCATCTAGCATCTTTGTTTTACTTATGTTTGTTTGTAAGAGGCTGATTATTTTCGTCAAGACATGTACACTGTTAATGTGCACTGTATGCAAGCCACGGATCTGTGGAGCCAGACGTGTAGGTTCCTCTCAACCTCAGAATTTTATTTCCAATCAGTCTTCTGACAATTCACCAATGGCCATAGAAACACAGTCAAGCATTTTGATTTGTCTGCTTCTGTCTCGTGTATACTTACAGGTACATGTATTATTCTTTTTTGTTTCTGGCTGTTTTGTGTTGTAAATACCTTTCAAATGAATGAAATTTGTAGAAGAATGAAATATTCAGCATTTGTTTGTTTACTAATCTTTTTGACCCTGCCTTTGTTTTTATGTTGTACAGAAATCCATGTTCACTGTACATGTACCATCTCTGATTTTTTTTTCAGCGCCGATTCTACAAGACTTTCTATTATTAGATATGACTGTTGTGAGTGAGTTAGCATAATGTATGCACGTTGGAATGGATACAAATGCATAATATGTTATTTGGGCCTGTGTCTGTCGGACTTGTCGTGCAATCTGAATTCCATAGCAGAGTAATTGAAATGGCCTCAAGGTGCTTCCACAGATGAGAACACAGTGATCTCTGCTAGAGATTTGAAATTACAATAGTAGGCGAATGGGATTCTGTCACTTCTAATAATTTGATTGCCATTTCTTACATTGGAGTTTGATGAAGGATTCAAAATTGAAAAAAAAAAAAACAAAAAACCAGGAAATGTTGATGTCTTAGAAGTGAGCATGTTTAAAATTTGTGGAGGCACCTTAGTAGTTCTGTCGTTCTTTTGACCACGGTATACGTACATGCATGTACAGGATGCATGTCGCTGATAACAGAGATGCATTTTCCAGGCGACACTTTTAATGAGAAGTGACACTTTAACACTCTTACACGTAAGGTATAATTTTCATATGGCATGCAAATATGATTTCTCAGTCATGTACAGCTGTACATGAAGGTTGTATTTTGTTAGACAAAAGCCACCAAAATTTCCGATGGCATTTTGCATGCATAGCATGTGGAGGTATGGAAACAATCCACTTTGGTCTCCTGTTTGAATTTTCAAGGGATGTACGTACATGTCGCCGTCCAGCCAAGTCTTTTCTGAGAATTTCAAAGCCACTTGAATAAAAAAGATTCAAAGTGGTTGCAGGAAGCAGACAGGAAGAAAATGAAGATTTCATGCATGCATGCATGAAAGTGCCCTGCATGTTATGCTTGAGCATACAATGTACATGTAACCACGTCTCCTGGAGGCTCACCCAGTCACACAGTTATTGTCCATTTATCAAGGTTGCTTTTGTTCAATATAATAGTTAATTATAGTTTGTCTTCATAAATGTATAAAAATATGTTTAGATTTGTATCATATATGTGAACCTATGTCTTGCTTTGATGAATCACACATTCATGTTTGCAAAGGAAGGCAGGTGCTGAAAATGAACAGATGAGTGCAAAAAGCTGATCAGAAAATGTGTAGAGTACATAATTATACACATTCATCTTTGGCTATCATGTACATATACACGTTATTACAGGCCATGTACGTACATGTACTTTATCAGAGTCAAATACTGCACATTCCGTTGGACATGGCTGTACATGCATGTAGCTATTAGAAATTTCCATAAGAATACATGTAGGTGTTAGTTTGAGCTGCAGCCAAGGAATTTCAGAATTTGGTTGCAGCCAGAACTCTTACTGATGTATGAAAGTCGAAAGCATTTCCACATCATTTAAGAATACGTGTGTGTACACGAACATGTCCTGGAGTTATTTACATGTAATCACCAGAACCAAATGATGTCATGGCCAGTTTTGAGATGCATACAGGTGTACGTACCATGTTGCATTAATAGAAATGATTCATTCACCTGAAAAAGCATATGAAAATGGCCGAAGCGCATTTCTTTGTAAAATTGGAGAGTTTTCATTCTTTTACCAACCTCATATTATTCATAATTTGTAAACAGGAAGTTACAGCTCTTTGAAAATGTAGGACATGCATTATTGTGATCACCTGTACAGTGTACGTCACTACATGCCCTCATTGACATCATTAGAATCCTTCATTGATTTTCCATTGTTTTCACATAAATCCTTGTACATGTACATGTATAATGTTGACATATTGTATTTGTACATGTACATTGTGGCACTCCTGTGTGTGCACTGGTAATGTAGAGTCTTTTAATGTTTGCGTGAAATATCTGAAACAATGGGACATTCAAATTCTTTTTTTTGTTAAGAATAGAAACAAGAACTTGAAATGGATTAAATATCATTGAGGTCTTTTTTTCATATACTGTAAATGTAAAGGCACATGTATGTAAACTAAAACTACTCATTTAGATCTGCATTCTGGGGTACAGTGAGAAATAACCAGGGTTCAATTGGTTTTTGGACTGATCTGGGGTTGTCTATCTTCAAAACAAGTGCCCCCAAACGTCATTAGACTGGACATCAGTATCTATGTACATGTAGATTCGGTACATGCACATGTACAGTAACCTCCATGTTATCCCAAAACAAGTCCAGTACTAAGACTAGTCAGAAATTCAAATGATTTTAGCGATTGTCGTCTCTTGCAAAGAGGGTTTTTTGTGTATTGTTATGGTGCAGACATACATTGTACATGTGCTCTCGTACATTACTGTACCAGTCAGGACTGTCATCAGCTTCTGTCTGTGAGCAGAGACACAATATGTACTGAACATGATGTACATGTAAGAGGGCCGCTAGCATTGCCTGCCACCCAGAGAGATTTTTATAAAGCAATGCAGTCCTTTGGTCAGAATGTACCATGTGCACACACAGGTTTATACACATCTGCGGTTGGACACGCTGGGGACACACTACCAGTCTCTCTTTGAAGACTTCAGTCTTTGCATGTGCTTGTGTGCCGTGCAGTTGGAGGAGCCGGCTGAAAAACTTCCCGCCAGTATTTCTTTGCCAGTGAGGAGGCGCTTCGACTCCAGGTGTATTACACAGACTGACGTGGATGGCATCATCTATAATATTGAGATCTTAGTGTTTTTAAAATTCCTATGCATTTCAACAATGTGGTCCTTATCATTTGCATAAGTCTGCATCGGTCATGCTGTTTGTAAATAAATTAGAAGTAGTTTTGCAGGAAAGTTTTTATCGTTTTGCATTCAAAAAAAGAACCTTACAGAGCATTGGAGGAAACTTCCGAAAGAACTGTTTTGGAGTGTGCACATGAGTTGAGATGGTACAAGTCTGAATGCATCATTAACAAATAGTGCACTAATCTGACCACAAACCCTGCAAGTTTCATTATCATTCAATTATCATTGTGTTCAGATTGTGAGAAATAATTCTGTTTCTACTCTAGCTTGCTTTGCATGTTAATTGTACCCTGCACATTTCTTTCATGCTAAAATTATATCACCTTCATTTCAGTTCACTTTACTGTCACCGTAATGACTCTCATTTCTGCTTTCAGTTTTAGCTGGAATAACCGACTTAGTCTGGCCTCTCTTTTTCTTTAGTTTCCTTTTTGGATGGAATGTGTCTTCTTGTTTTTTTTATCCTTGTTCATTTGTTAAATTCCCCCTCCAAATAACTTCAGAGCGAGAACGGCCTGAAACGTAGCGGGTCTCTTTCCAAGCTCCGGGCATCGGTTCGTCGCAGTAGCACCAGACTCTTGAACAAATTGAAGGGGCGTGAGTCAGACGATGAAGGCGGGTGCGTATCAGCTGCTGATCATTCTCAACCTATTAACCCCAGTTTCTATAGGCATAGCTTCCCGCCTGTCAAAGCACTGCTCAAGACATATAATCTCTTTGGTGCAGGGGAGATGTAGAATGTAGCCAACTTTCACTGATGTGCTCATCTAAAATTTTTTAAACGGCTAAATTTGACTCACTTGTTGCAACAAAGATTTTAGACTCTAAAAATCCTGATTCAAAGATGTTGAACCAATCAGAGTGCGGCAGTTGGGATGAAATACAGTACATGTGCAAACTGACTCTCAGCCAGTTCCGCTTTACTTGCAACTATCAAATAAACAGATTTGTTTGGGGGGCAGTGGACGAGGAAGCCCTATTGTTATCAGTAAACCATTGAATTGTGCTAGTGAAAACCTCGCACAGATCTAGTACACAAAACACAATTGATGCAGAGCAGGGGAAGGTATCTCCAAACTTCAGGTTGCTCTGTATTCATTACCACTGAACATGAGAGACATGCATGTACTAGTTGTCCCCACTGCCAGGATAAAGCTTAATAACCTGGATAACAAGTCCTGTGCCAATTTCAAATAATCTAATTTAGGATCCTAAGTAGTGCTGTGATTTTTGTATTGATCATGTGATGTGTAGTGTGTATCTCATGAACTAAGAGACATGTTGGTGTGCTTGCAGTACTTGGCTTAAAAAAAATCTGTGCTACTCTTTCAAAGTTGAAGAAAAAAATGAAAATGAGGAAGCTCAATGGTAGTGTAGTTATAAACAGCCCCAAATCTGCCTTTTTCAGCTGCTAAGTCTAAGAATTTGATTAGCTATGCAATTTTCATAAAGTGTGTTTGCTGTTTGAAAACAGCATTAACTGTCATATTAACCTTTTTTACCCATTTTGAGACTTCTTTTGTGATGTGATGATTTTGGGATCAGGTACATGTATGCTCAACCACTACAAAGTGTGGTAGACATTTCTCAGCTGTTCAAGTTTCTTCATTTTTGTCCTTAGATTTTTTCCTGACATTTCTTGTAGGTATTGAACACTTGTGCAAACATTATTTTTTTTTTAATTATTTTCGGAGGGATGGTTAAAGTTGGAGGTTTGTGGTTGTCCAACTTTTTGGCAGTACTGTAGAATGAAAATACATTTTACTGAGCTATTTCATGCTTGTCTTAACTTTTGTTGCACGACCCAAAGGTCCGACATTTTTGATGATTTTGTGGATATGGTGAAATCGGGGTGAGTGCTTTGATGTGACAGACATCACCAATGATGCTTTGATTGTCTTTAATGGCGTCAAGCATTTAACATAATGTGGAGTTAACAGGGTGGTATTGTAGAACATGGAAGAAACCAAGAGCCTCAACCACATTTTAAAACAATCTTTGACAACAATTCAACTTGGGTCCAAACTAAATGTTTTCTGTCGCTGTTGAAGCTTGCATTTTATAATAGAAGACATAGTAGGAATTCAGGGAGATTTCTTATTGTGATTTTGGTTGTAAAATGGTGCTCCATGTAAAACGTAATCATTTCATTAAAAAATTAACTGTCTCTAAGGGAGTCAGGCATTTTCTAGTAGAGGCTGTCTGAATCTTCTTCAGCTTTACTGAAATTTGTTGGCTTTTTCTTCCATGTTTTGTCACTGTGCTACCTGTTCATGTACCAGTGTTAGTGTCATGTTCTGCTTGTCATAAGAATTTCCGGAAGATCACTTTACACTATGTGGTTTCAGCTTTTCAAAAGACATTTCCTCCGTCAAATAGACCATTCACTTAAGTATCGACTCGACCCCCATGTGTATGTGTACATGTACAGTATATCACTTTTTTCAAACCACTTTGGACTGGTGTTATTGTGGATGTTTAAGTTGTTTTAGCTACAGAGCCATTTTGTAATGTATGTCTCATTGTCATCCTCTTTTTATATTCACACAGTGCACTTTCAGCATTCCAGAGTTGTATTTTGTTCTCTGTTTATATTCTTTTTTTTTAATTTATGGGTACACCACATGTTTAGTTTGCATTCAGTGAATTTAAATTGTCTTGCTACCAATTTGCCTGCCCCATTGTTTTATTTACATGTAAGTACAACAAATTGTCAAAACTTTTGGGGTTAAGATAGAAATGATTTTGTTTGCAATACATGTACGTTCGTCATGCTCCACTGAAGGTCTCATGTGAAGAAATAGTGGCTGGCTCTAACATTCTTCAATCGTGCAATTTCCTCCTAAACTCTGTGATGAATTTTTAATGAACAGTGAGAGCGTGGGATGCCTACCAGGGAACCATATTTTTGACCAACATAATATCAATTTGTTGGGTTTTTTTGTTAAGATTTTCTGTTTCAAGTTTTTAGTGTGAAGAAATTTCTTACTAAACGTACATGTACCGATACATGTACCATAGGTAGGCTTTTTTGGGGGGGAAAACAGAGATTACACAGGCATCAAAACCCTAGTAATTGCGTTACATTCTCCGTTTAGTAAATACTGGCGCATATATTGCAGCTTGTTAAAAAAGGAGAAACCACTTGTACGTTACATTTAGCTTTAAATTTCTTTAACTCAAAATGTAAATAAAACAGAGGTGCCTGACTTTACAGAAAAGTCACAACTTGGTCATCTCCAAATATTTCACTCTTAGGACGTACAATGTACTTTGCACTTGATTTTTGTTACCTTATGTTAGACCATTGGTTCACAGTGCATCAGTTCAGGAATGTACTCACAATTACCAGTATGATCACCTGTTTCAACAGCTACCAAAGTTGTCAACTTTGTTGCGATGTGGCTTATTAGAATACAGAATCTCTTAAGTCATTTGAAAGGAAGTGTGCTACTCCATCCAACATGCCCAAGACTGACTCTCCCACACCACCCCTGTCTGAGATTCTTTCTTTCTGCATGGTCTGTTCTAACTGTATGCCTGTTCTGCATGTTGTCTTGGATGTGTGGAATGCTTGGCATTTTGTACTATAACCCAATGCTGCCCAAACTCCCTTGTTTCCCCTCTAAAAAAGGTTGGCCTGTCCGACAACCTTTACATAAGACAGTCACCAATTAAATGTGAGAATCCATTTTTAGTTCATTCATTCTTTCGTACTGTAGCTTTGGTACTAGATTCACTTCTGATGGTAATGTTTTTTTATTGGGAACATAACACTTGATTAGGTATTTGTAGGCTAAATATTTAGGACACAAGAACTGTTTGATGAAAAAACACTGTCATGACTGTTGTGTGTGTTTGGAGGGGATAATTGATATCAAATTCTTCACCAATTTCACAAAAAGCAAATCATGTGGTGTAAACTTACAATCTGTTAAGTTTATCGTGGCATCACTGGAAATTAATCTTCTACTGAATTGTTAGGGTTTCACATGTATTTTGCACAGTATTAGAGCTGTAGAGCCTTCAGTGGAAAGTTTATCTTTCGTATACGGTAGCAAGGTGTACATGCACTTGTTTTTTGATCAGACAGATGTGCTCCAGGATGTGGGGAAAGGGTAACAAAAGGAGCTATTCATGGCTGTATTTTTAGAATTTCCCCCTCCAAAAAATGTCATGAACCAGTGTTCCGGTCCTATCAGTGATTTTACTGTTCCCCAACTCAGGTCCAAAAATTGGTTTACTTAAAAAAAATGGAAACCTGCAGCACAGTATTCAAAGTACAGACTCTTGATAACATAGGTGTGCAAATTGATTGGAAAAAGTCCACAATGAAATAAGTGTATTACTTTGAACTTGCTGTCAGAGCTGTGAGAGGTTTTTTTTTTATGTTAATTCCCAATTTTGTTACTGTTGAGTGGTTTTGACTGCAGTTATTCAATAGTCCATACAAATGCCAAGCTTTCAGAACGTATTGATGTTCTGATTATTCAAAACATAATATGCTGTAACTTTGTTTTCAATGGGCACATCTATAGATAGGCGGATGGGATGTAAGGTACAGTGCTGTAAGGAGAAGATTTTCAAAGATAAACCCTAACCCTGCCAGACACAACATAGTGCATCAGGCGAAAAAGTCTGGTATGCTTTGATGCACTTGGCAATCAACAGCAGCCGAACAAACTGGCCATGTTGACACAATTGGAGCTAGTCCAATTGAACAATGCCAATGTTGGATCTTGTGGTGACTGGCAACCACAGGCTCTCAGGCTGTTTGGCCCTAGGGAGGGTTGACCCATTGGATCTTGTTATACTGGGCAGGCAAGCCACTTTGACAAATGATGCAGTCTGATGTGTCTGGCGGGGTTTCTAGCCAAGGGTTAGGGTTAAGAGAAGTCCATTTCCTGTTTGCTGTGAAAAGTTGTGCACAGTGCTAAAATAAATTATGTTAAGGATTTTATTCAATGCTTTAGTGGCACTCAAGCATCTGAGCACTGTTCACTGTAAAGACATTGGCGCATTACATTTCAAAGTCAAGATTTCTGTAGAGAGCAAACCATGGGCGTCACCAGGATTTTTTTTTGGGGGGGAGGAGGGTACTAACCACTTTTTCCCCAGGGGGGCAAAGCACTCATCAGCTAACAAATGATAAATAATTAACAGCTGGAGGGGGATCAGTGTTTGATGTTTTGCAAGCAGTTTTTTTTTCTTTTGTTTTTTCCTTCTTCCCCTTTTAATTTCAAGTTTTGGGGGCTAGGGGCAAGCACTCCCCCGCCCGCCTGTGACACCCGTGGAGGATACATTAAAACTAAGGCAACTACCGACAGGAGCAAATATTTACCTTGATCAAATCAAATCACTTTTTCTATTAGTTGCACTTGGGTAATGCCTAAAAACAAATTATAAATAGTTAGGAATTCAAACTGATTGAAACTGAGGACAGAATTTCAAATCAAGGTCTTGTGCCCAGCGTCTAACTGCATGATTTCATTTGCATGGCAGTATCTTGCTTGCAGCACCCATCTAACCTAACCATGCATCTGCACCTCCCTCATTCCTAGGGATTCTCAAAACCGAAGGATTTTCTTTTAGATACAGAACTGAAGACAGAAGATAATGGACTTTCGGTTTGTGTGCCAACATTGTCCAGCCTTTACAGTTGGAGTTGGAGACTGATAATTAGGAAAAAAGAAATCCAAGCAAGAGATGGAGTGTCATAAAAATTGTATTGCAGTATTTTCCATTTGACAAACGTTCTTAGATCCAGTCATATTGCTGCAGATTTTTTCTTGTGGTTCCACTGTCAAAAGGCCTCGGGGGTAACAGTTGAGCTTATAAAAATAACATACATTCTTCACAAAATTAGATATACATTTATGTTATAGAGTAGTTAAATGTCAGCAACGTGACGTTTAGCGCAGAGAAGAAAATTTGCTTTGAATGAAATTACTCGTAGCACATTCCAAATGTTCTCACAAAGATCTCTCTCAGTTTTTCTTCATATGTTAACTCATTTCCACACGGGAACACACTGATCATACTTTGATATCCTAAATGTTTCTTTTTTGTCTCTTGTCCTATTTGTTTATCCCATTTCACCGTAAACCCTGGCTCAGTTTGCGTAGAAGTAACTACATACAGGTTTCTAGAAGTCTCTCCGTTCCTATAGAGGTACTAGTATCACCCTGTGTTTCACTTCTAGTACAACCCTTTGTGTCATATAGTGCCTCACCCACTGTGCTACAAGCTGTGTAAATACTTGTTGATACCTCTGGAATGCACAAAGACAAAAGTGCACTGTGAGAGTCGTAGCTAAGATGCAGAAATTGCTCATATTCTTGGTAGTTATTTGTTTTTAATCTAAGCCCTGGGTTTCATGGGCTTTTTGGCTTGGGTTTCTCAGTGGAAGTGGTTAATGCTTGTGAGTTAAGGGTGTCAAAGATTTTCCTCCCTCCCCTATCAGTTTGTTCCCCCAACCCCCATGATTATATTGAAGTACGAGATGATGCTACTCTCAGTGTGATTTTTTTTTTCAAATGTTTATGCTTTGGGTATGTTTAAATGGAAATGGAACAACTTCTTCAAAATGCACCCTCTCCCTTTTTAAACTTTTGGCAAATTTGCAGTACAAATTTTTGAGGGATGAGAGGCACATCAGGAAAATTCAGCAAATGAATTTTTTCACTGAGATACCCAACGTTGCTGTATCAGAAACTTAGAATGCAACCCCACGGTCACAGGGACAGCCTGTCATTGAGCAATTTCTGCTATTAGAAGATTATTTCCCTTTCATTAACATTACATGTACACAGTTAATGTGAAAGCATGTTCTGTATTGAGTGTATTCATCATACATGTACATGTATGTGGAAATGTTTCTTCATGATTATTTTTCATTCAGTTGGTACCGTAATAAACAGATATGTACCTGTGTACATGCATAAATAGGCTAACATTCAAAGTTTGTCATAAGAAACACATGTAAAATCAAATGTGCAGATTACATTACGGGTAGCGTGAAAAAGATAGAAAAGAAATGATAAGTGAAAAGCAAGAAGGCGCTTTTGCAAAGCTTTCCTATGAGAACCCCTTGTAATGTAATCAGCTGCCCCTTGATGAAGGTTCCAATCTCTTTGTCCATTTTGACCCAGTAAGTTGCCAAGTTTCTGTTGACTGATGTTTCTTGAATGTCTTGGGCCCTAGCCAGGGATTGTATCATCTGCCTTACCGGCTAAATTAGAGGCTGTTAAAGGATGTCCATGAACATGTAGTGGGTATACATGCAATGGTTTTACAGTAGCGTGTTGCTCTGATAAGAATACATTAAGGAGAGAAAGATAAACAGGTTGGTCTTTGAAGTGGTGAATCATGAGCAAGCTAGGAATGAGGAATGACTGTCCTTGCGTCATGCATGTTACAGGGTTAAATTTGTGGATAACTTATGACATATTACGTGCAGATCATACTAAGTTTTATGAAGGGAAAATTCTTAGAAATGTTTGCTGATGTGCTCTTGAAATTTTGATTTGTTTCTGTCAAAGTGATCAGTTTTGACTAGTTTTGCTCTTAATATGAGTTATTGATTTTTCTGCCCCTACTTGTTTTCCTGTTGAGACAAAGTTTTTGTGTTTTCATTTTTGTATTTATTTTGGCACAGTTATTGTAGTGCATGTTTATATTTTTGAGTCTGAATGTGATTATTGCAAGCTGGTATTTGCTTTAAAGTGTTACATTTTCTTTATTGTATACGACAACAATTGTTTCAGCATTTTGATGATTTTTATATACAGACATAGGTACATGTTCTCTGACACAAAATATCTCTAGCATATTTGATGTCCTAATCTCAGTCTTATTTTGTACTTCTTGAACCTATGATGTTATATGCTTCAAAATGATTTTGCAGTTAGATTAAGTCACCACTTTTTGTGACAACCTACCGGGCTACATGTATATATGGACATTGAACCTGTTGGTGGAATTCCAGTAATTAACAGAAATAAGGGCACATGACTCAGATATTTTGCGTAACAAAAATGTCTGCTAAGCAAAAAATAAGTTGCCAGCCAAACTAATATTTAAATGCATTGAGTTTTTCTGATTTTCAAATGAGTTTCATAAGAAACATTTGTCTTGCAGCTTATTTGAAGTTTCCAGAACCCATTGGCCAAGCATACTCGAGTTTGGGCTAGTCAGAATCAAACAATTTTGCTGACTGCTAGCTCAGACTCAACCAGTGAACTGGAACTTCTATCCATTGAAGTTGAAGATTTATTCCTTTATGTCAAGACAGCTTGCTTAGTCTCTTGCAAGATATGAACTCTTTCTGCATGTTAGTGATGTAATTTTTAACCACTAATGAGTGATTTTAATCCTAATATATCCTATTCCCTGCCTTCCTCCTTGCTTTACAGCATGAAACGAGCTAGCTCCATGTCAGTCCTCACCAGTCGGGCAAATGATGATGTAAGTAGAACTTAGACTTCCCAACGTCCAACAAAATTGCTGTACTCACAACTTCATCTGCTCCCTGCTCTACTTCGAAAGCAGGTTTTATTTGGAATACAGATGGGGGTTTAATTCATGTTTGTTCCTGTTTATTTGGTAAATGATCTGTCAGGGACTCATGCATGTGTCTGATAAGACACATCCATAGAGCTCATGGTTTTTAAGTTAATTGGAGATTCTTGATATTGTATTTTAACATTTCCAAATTTTCTCTCTCGGGGTTAAATTATTAAATAAAACCAAAATATGAAGACCAGCTTTACTTTATTAATAATTGATAACTTATAGAATAACGTTTGTTACAAATTTTAGGTGGAAAAAACTAAGCAGTATAATCAACATATGTGCAATCAGTGTGGAAGAGAGACATTCTAACTTCTGCACATTAAGATCAGCTCCCATTTTATCCAAGTAATCAAAATAGTTCATTGCTGTTGATTGTCTTGCTCAGGTACATGTATACAAGAAGGTAGACCACGGGCTACAGAAATGAGCCGATTCCGAAGTCTGAATTGAGCACCATATCCTGATACTCCAGTTTTTTCCTGTTTAATTGAATAGCATTGTTGTTTTGTTCTCACCCCATCAGGCCAGCTCTCCAATCCAACTCAGTCAGCGTGGGCGAGTGGGAAGCCATGATAACCTCTCCAGCCGACGTCAGACAGGTAACTACTGACCAATCAACACTCCTCCAGCCTCTGTAACATAAACAGATCCTTCCTTGCTACCAATATGTCGTCACTGTGGCTTGAACTGCACCCTGGTTACCAGCCATTTCCTGTGTATTTTTTCAGAAACGGATGTAAATGTCAGTGTTCTATTTGCATTCTAGTGTAAACTGCAGTTAATTGAATTGTATAAAATAGAAAGGTACTGTAATCCAGGAGACTTGGTGGCAGTGTTTAGTGAAAGCATGGTACATGGTTGTATGAAATCAGTAGCTCTTTAGAAACAGAGTATGAAGCAGAGTCTACCGTTGCTATGAAATTATAACTTACAAGGTAAGTTTGTAACATAATCTTGGATCAGGTTTTTTTTTGTTATCCCCTGTTGGTTGTTCAATATTTAAAAGGATGAGGTCTGCAGCTCTGATCTTTGTGATGACTTCCCAGTTGCTTACCTAAAAAGGTCCACTGCCCATTGAATGTATTTGTGTGTACATTTATATGAAATGGCTACAAATGTATTTGTGTCATCAATGTGTTGGGTTTTTCTGTTGATTTTGTTTGTCTTTACCACTTTGTTTTTGTTTTGTAGATGATTTACTAAGTGTTGATATAAAAGGAGTGCAGGAACAAGTCGAGGAGCCTCCAGTTATTTGAAAAGGTTGAAGACGTTCAGTTGTTGATGCTTTCTTTCACGTATTTCAGGGAATATTCTTGGACTTTTCTCTTGGCTTGAACCTTTAGGTTTCAAAAACAACATACAGCCATACATATAGCAACTAACCTCACTTACTCTTACGCTCGCTCTTGACCTTTTTTGGCATAGGAAAATATACAGGCATCTAAAAACGAAAGCAATGTTAGTGGTTAATGGTGGAGCACTGCCTTAACTGCCAAACAAAATCTTCGCATGTCTATTATTTAAGCACCTGTCATACTCAGTTTGTGAAAACTGAGCTGTAAAATCTAGCTGCGCTTGAAATGCAAGTTGAGGGATAAATTTCAAAAAGCTGTTGCCAACACTGGAAGGATTCGCTTGGAAAAAGATATCCTGTTGAGATGTCATGCACTTTGCATTGCTGCGTACTGTTTCAATAACAAGTTCAGCCATTTGCATGAATGCATGTGGTGACACAAACATTCATCCCAAGCCAAGTGGTTGTGAATTAGCTTCACTGAGTTGAATTTTGTCAGAAGCTGCCTTTATTTTGGAAAGTTGCCAATGAGTATTCCCTTTTCACGTTCTCAACAACAATACATAAAACATAATGTGGAGAAATCTTCATGGGTCATCTGTGACATGGGTTGATTCATTCTCATTTTTAGTAATCAGCATTCATTGACAGGTCACCACGCAAGTCATTTAATACATATACATGAACACTGTCAATTGGCTACTCAGTCAGCATTCTTGGAAATGAGATCACAAAGCATGCTTTCCTGTATACAAATAACATCGTATGGGATAAATGAAAAGCTATGAGACAAATAGACACCTGTTGTTTCCTGTCTTCTTGGCTTGATCTGGAGGCTCAATGTGCTTTTGGCCTTGTCTGTTTGCATCTTACAGTCTGTCTCTAGATACGAGTGGTGCTGGGTAGAAAATAGTCTGAACAAACCATTTCCTGAATTGTCAGGTTAAATGAATAAATAAGCCTATACGACATTTATTTGACCCATTTTGTTTTTATTTTCAGAATTTTGATGCCGGTAAATTTCTACCTGTATATTCAAACAACAGGGAATGGGGAAGAGAATAGTTTGGTTTCAGACAGAGAGTTAGGTTTGGGATGGAATGGTCAAGATATTTATAAGTGTCTGGTTCAGATTAAACTTACAAATCCATTACTCATTGTACTGAAGACTCTGGCTTTTGTGATGTTAAGCAGTTGAAGCTAAAACACATCAATACCCCCCTCTTCAGTTCATGCTACTCCACCACAGTCTATAAATCAAGTCTCCACAAGTCAGTCTCAGGTCATCCAGTTTCAAATTTGCATTAGTACAGTAGTTCAAAGGTGAGATTGAGTCAAGTTTTTTCTGATTTCATGATTTTTTCATCAGGATTTTTCAAACAATTGAGAAAATGCCAAGATTCTCATAAAGGTTTTTCTGCTAAAAGTTAATATGGAACACACAAATGGGTATTTTAAGGAGTTCCTTTAGGAAGACACAAATGTATACCATAGACCCTGGTGTGCTGCTGCGGGACCCTCAAATCCTCTGGTGATTATTTTGTGACTATTTTGAGTTGTAGCCCAAGCATGTTTTTTTTATCATTTAGGGCAGTTCTTTCAGTTTGACTTGTGATTCATGTAAATTCAACTAAGGCTACGTGTACATTCCTTTCCCAACCCTGGTCACCAGTAGAAAGACATGTACATGTATTTCATTCTATTTATTTGACCAATTCCAGGAAATTCATTCTCAAACCAACTCTCTGCATCTGTTTTTAACCAGGCACCATTGTTGCATCATTCTCATGATTTTTCACTGCATCTGCCATACAAGTCTCCTATCACATCATGTATATATAGTAAGAAACCTTGTTGTAAAACTGGTGTAGTCATGTGGAAGGTGTGGTTTGTAATTTGGGGATTTTGGGGGGATAGCAGGGTTTTGTCAGTTGTAATATAAGCTGATGGCTTTGCTTGGTAAGTCGTAGCTTCAGGACTGTGAAGAGTTACCTATTGGCATAAAAATTGAACCTACATGTATAACTAAGATTAGTAAGCAAACTTGTGTGTGTACATAATGTTTAACTGACTTCAAAACAAAGAGGAAATTTGTCAAGAAAATTGAATTTAAAATGAATAGGATGTGCAGTGCATGAAACCACAAGATGAGATTTGATAGCTGAGCTAAATCCAACTTACTCTGGCTTTTCCAACCATTTCTTCTTCATATACGACAAAGGTCTCGCAGACATTTGAAAAAAAAAAGTTTCAAGAAGAGAAACACATAGAAAAAGTGTTTGAAAGCATTTGGCTTGATTTGTGTAGAGTCTGATTCTGCCCAGTTTACCATAATCAACATTTGAAAGAGCCTCTGTAGGTTTGATTTTAGCCCTATTTGGAAGGTTGGTTTTCCTGGAATACTCAAGTCTGTGTGTGCACTGAAACTTTTTTCCTGCTTGATCCCCTCATTGGTAGTGACTGAAGATAGCCTAGTGTCCCAAAACCACATTATTTTCTCTTTCTGTATTTAAAATGAAGATACTAGGTTCCAGTAGTAAATTCCTCTAGTGATACAAATTCTATGGTTTATGTTTCTTCAAGATGTATTTATATTTGAAAGATCTGTAACATTTTTGCTTTTTATTGACAACACTAACAATTTGTGTGTGGTTTGAAGTCAGTTTTTTATTTTGTCAGAGATGTAATTCCATTACCCAGTAATTCAATCCTTTTGAAACCAGTACAGTTATTTTTAGGAGGATCTGAGTCTGGCGACCATAAGCCTGTTGTACTAAAGCAGTAAAGCTCACTCATTTTAGAGAGACTGGCATATTATCACAACCCGACTGGTGAATTTCTTGTGTTTATTGTAATTATAGTCTTTTAAAGTAAATAATATATGTATCTACATAGCTAGTTGTAAATGTGTAATTAATGTAAGTTACATTACTTGAAATGCTTTGCTACAGTTATTTTCGCATTGGTAATTGGTACACTTCTGTTTGAAACAGCAAACATTGTGTGATGAACTCTCTGATATTTCCATCCTTACTGAACATGTTTGGACAACGACGTAATGAATTCAACCCCAGACCAGAATTGTAAAGTAAACTAGTAGAAACAAACGTACAACACAAGTCTTGAGAAAGAGACATGTATTTGTTCGCTTCAGTGTAGTAGCCACGTCAAGAGACCAGAAAACCCACTTGGAACAGGTGAGTGTTGATGTGATCACATACATACTAGGTTTAGCATTGTGGTTATCCGTCCATTGTGGCGCGTCATTCTTATTTAGATGTTAACTTTGACAGTAGATTTAACCAGTGCCAATCATTATACATAATGATTTCTCTGTTTGGTTATTTTCAATTCACATCCACATTCTTGTGACTTGATCAACTGCAAATTGACAGTGGTCCTTTACTACAGCACAGTGTCATTTGAAATTTAAGCCATTTATGACTAAAATATCATTTGAGGAAAGATTTGGGTTAGCCTAAAGAATGTTCACAGATGTCAATAGAAAAATACTGGAATTTGGTTCACATCATATACATCAAAAGCTGTGACATGTTCTATCCAGTCGTCTGTGGATTTGCTCTTCAAATCGATAATCCTAAACAACATGCATATCATTGTAAGTCAACTTGTACAAATGTGGAGTCACATCCGGTAGAATAAAAAGAACTTGTCTGTTCGTGAAATTTGACATTTTCCTCATTTGGGTCATCCATTAAAACAACATTTGTCTTTTGACATGCTTTACATATTGTACATGGAGCGGTGCCTTTATTTAGGATGGTCTATACTTAATGCTTAAAGTTTACATGGATACCTGTGAGGTAATATCAAGATGTCCAGTCTTGATCATTTCAAATCTTTGTTGGTGGTGCAATTTTTGTAGAAACAAGTACATGTATGTATGTGTTTGAGTATTGACTAGTAGGTAACTTCACTTCGATTGTACTGCTTGGCCTTGAGTTCGGCGTGTCATCAGCAATCGTGTTGAATGAGACATTTTCGCAATCATATCTACCAGAGGTTGGAATAGAGTTTTTATTTCATCACACCAATTGAAATACTGACTCAGAGAGAACCCCCCGTAAGACAGACCACACCCAGGGTACATCTCTCTCAGGGGTTCCTCTCTAAAGCTTTAACCCTTTCTAACACATTGTTTAATGTTGGCATTACAACATGGTTACAATTGCTAGGATGAGCATTTTGAAAGGATAGCTGTAATGTATAAATACTGGAAACAAATTCATTTTACATGAAAGAGAGAGTGGGAACTGTTCAAGTATGTGCACCTTCAAGACATTTCAAAGTGGTAAACTGAGATATGTAATCACATATTTCGTGGTTTTTCCAGAAAATATAGAGGGGAAACAGCTTGCAATCATTTCCATTTGAAATTAAGAAAAGGTTTTGGTTTTGGAAAAGGGAAGACCCAGATTGGTTAGCATCAGGGATTGTTTAGACATTGAAACAACATGCCCTTTCCCCTGCAACTGTCAGATTCAGTGCCGAGTATGGATAGTAAATACAAACATGTAGCAATAGCATCACATCCGTTGTGCTGATTTTTTTAACTAAACCTTGAGCAATACTTAACAATGTCATTCATTCGTACAATGTATGGCATTACTGTAGACATTTATTTCTGTGGATCAAAATACTTGTGTATTTTGAGTTATGGTGTTGGAACTCCCTAACTCGTGTACCCTACGTGTATCAAATGCAATATAATCCTGGTAGATGTCATAGCTGTAGAGAGGGGTAAAGTAGAAATCATTCAGTTGTAGGTTTTACAGTTCTAGTACAAATTTGCATGCTACATCTGTGGACTAACGTGCCTATAGTGGCCACCTTGTTATAGGGGGCACCTGTCCAGACCAAGGTTCCCTAGGTCCAATTAGTGAGAAGTCAAATGTTCAGTGTATCCTGTGACATACCATGGGTCCTTGCTGTATGGATATACTAGGGTCAATTATAATTTGGTGCCCACTGTATGTGGGTTTGGCAGTTTTTATTCCATGTTTGTGAAACAAAGCAACGATACACCATTGGTTTGCTTCTCAAAATGTTGATGGTTTGATGTGAAGTCGAGGCTTTGCGATTGCAGCATTTAGGTTGAGTAGCTGTTTGATAACAAAGGGGTCATCAATTTGCTTTTCATTTTTACAACGGTATAACAGGAACTCTTGCCCCCGCCCCACTTACCAACTGAAGAGGACAAAAATTGTAATTTATGCTGGGTATTGTCATCATTTACTCTGGGTATTGTCATCATTTACTCTGGGTATTGTCGTCATTTACTCTGGGTATTGTCGTCATTTTTAATATTTTGAAATTTGGAAAGCATGGCTAACTCCCTACCACCCCCCTTTCACCTAACGCACAGTTTGTGCACTCGTGAGAATGATGGGAAGGAATGGATGGCTCATATTAGCGTGCTGTAAATTGCTTATCTGGTTAATTTTCATGTAAAAGAACTCACTGCAACGTGAGCTACATAAAGTAACTTAGACAATCGTGAAAACTGATGCCAATAAAATAGCTTGGAAATATATTCTCATAGTAGTGAGAATAGCTGATTGCTTAAACAATGGTGTATCGAAAGGGCAGATTCACTGTACTAGAGGAATTGATGTTAAACATGAGAATTTCAAAAACTGGCCAAACATCAAGCACCCTTTCAGTACATGAGGTCTAACCCTGTGCTATCTGGTTTGGTGCCTAGCACCAGACTGAAATCTAAATGACTTTTGAGCAATAATTTCATATTGGCATGGACTTTTTTAAGGGGAACAAAATTGTTTCACTCGTGTTGCTATGGTTTTCCAGTCATTTTAGTTTTGACTCTGAGTTACTGGACCATTGTCCACCAGTTATAGTCAGTTTAGTGTCTGTATTAATATTCATATTGAATTCCATTTTAGAGATAAAACTTGCTTTTGGCTCTTTGTGGTTAAAATTTTTCTTTCTGTTTAATTGAAACAAATTCTCTGCAGATGTTTAAATCCGCCGTAAGTCAATTTTTGGTTTCTAAACTTTTGTGGTTTCTTATATTTGATAAATCTAGAGCCAACATGGCAATAAGTAATGTACAAATCAACATCCTTGGATGTTTTGTCACATCATTAGCTTGACTTTTTTTTACCTCTCAAACTCGATTAGAATTTATTTTCCTGTCACTTGATTGATTGCGAAAATGTGGTATGGGAGTGAGTTAAGTATTAAATCTCAAACACATACATGTACATGTACTTGATAGTCTGTGTGAAATATATGCTTGGCTTTGGTTGTGTTTAAGGGTTTTAACAGGAAATTCCCAAAGCAACACATTCCAAGGTGCCAAATGGGTAAAGTGATAATTGTAGTGGACAGTGGTAGTGTCAGATAATGAAGTGTATCTCAGTCAGTTTATACCAAGTCACGATTTGCTACTTAAAACTGTGTCATGGTATATTTTAATGCCTTAGATTTGAAGTATGGAACGAATTTAGAAAAAACATGTAGAAATGTGTATAAGCTTGACAGAAATCTAGGATTGTGCAGATGGTCTAACATCAGTCCCTATTCCCAGAAGGGTGATCACTATATATGGTAGAATTTGAAAATAATTAGTCAGGAAAATACTTCATCCGTATTATTTGATTATCAAAGAGTTTTTTCTTATCCAAGGTATTAATTTTGTGATATTAGTGTATTGAATGCCTTAATGGCACACAATTTCTAATACCTTGTACTTTATTGCAATTCACCCATTTCAAGGACTTTAGTCGTCGTTTTTGGTCCAAGTCCATTAACCCAAAAGAAAAACAAAATGAACCAAATTGACCATTTTGTAAGTAAATGTATTCCTGATTGTCTTACTGCATTAAGTTTCCAACCACTAAGATCTTTTGTATTTCCTTATTTAGTTATTTTAAAACTGACACATCAGCAACTTCAGCTTCCTAGTATAGCAAATGATGCTCTGTTGCTATGGGAGGCATTACTAGTGAAGTCAATGTGATTGACTCTCTATAAATTGTTGACGCTACTGGTGTTATCAAGCTAAGTCAAAGTCGACCCAAAATTTGTCAAGATGTAAATTCTATTGTAGTGGCCCTGCAACTTTAAAAGTACGTAGCAACAGAAGTTAACGTTGGAGTAATAGTGCTGTTACTCCAGAATATGCCGATGCTTTTAGTAATGGATCAGAAGATATTACCGGTGTCATGGCTGTAGATGTTGAGAAACAGTTTGACCAAAGATTGTGGTTGGGAGTTGTCTTATCAATGGGCAGTATGACATTGTTATAATTATTAATTGTTGAATTAAAATGAACTTGTGACAAGAGCATGGCACAGTTTGCTTGTCTTTTGAGCATTAAGGCATAGGTGTTCAGGTGACCCCCCCCCAACAAAAAGATGAGATGACTTGGCAGAGTACAGTTGTGTGTGTGTATTAAAGTGCAGTCACACCAAAGCCATTTTGCTGTGACAGGGCAAACCAAACATCCAAATTTACATCTTACCATGATTGAAGACATCTACCAACCAGGTGGCGTGTTCTTGTACTTGAGTAAGTTTGTGATTTTCCCCCACAGAATATTGGGAAGCTCTGAGAATACAATATTTAAATTATTTACGTTTGCAAATGGTAAACCAGATATCAATAATGGAATAATGAAAGCGTGCCTTGGTGAATTAATGCAGGTTTGCTCATTTATCCCTGTACCCTAACCAGCGGCATATCCAGCTTTTGGGGGGGGGAGGGGGAGATTCTAAAGCGAATTCAGCTTCAGGCTATTTAACATGATGTTTGGAGGAGAAACAATATCAAAAGCCTTATGGACCCGACATCCTTGCTTTTATGTTTTGGTACATAAAAGCAAGGTTGTCGGGTCCATAAGGCTTTTGATATTGATATTTTGATATTGTTTGTTAGGGTTTTAGTGCTACTATTGATAAACAAAACTGCTGATAAACAAAATATTAATATTTGATTCTGAAAAATCTGTTAAGAAGTTTAACACCACCCATTTCTCTGTTGAAAGAGGCAGCGATACAAATGAAATAAGGCAGCCATCGAGATTTAAATCGTGTTTCAATTTTCAGCGGTTTTTGTATATGCAGAAAATTATTCTTTCATACATTCTTTATTGGTGGCCGTGGTGTGGCCAACATTTAGAAGGAGCAGAGCCACAAGTGTGCAGAATGGACGGTAATGTAACAGAAGCTCTAGATCTCTTGTCCTGGGTCTTCGCTGCACTACAAATATATGGTGATGTGCTCAGAAGAGTTTTAAAGCTGTAGCTGGAGGGAAAAATGTTTCTTGAAGTTTTCACAAATGCAGCACATTAACTCCAATCCTTAGCCACATGAACGGATCCAGGATTTTCCTATGGGGGAGGCATGATCGCGGATTTTCCAAGGGGGGGGAGTTGTGAACTAAAAAAGTAATGGTATAATGCCGATACAGTGTAGGGTCTGGAGCCATTTTGGATTCTGGGTGCTCTGTGTAGGGGTGTAGCCACTGGGGGGAGTATGTGTCCCCCACAAATTCCTGCGCCCCCCCCCCAAAAAAAACCAAAATGGATGAATGGATATTGAACAAGGCTAACAAAAGCTTGCTCCCAAAAACCACAACACTGAAAGCTGGTTCCCCCATAAGATGTTGGTACCCCCCCCCAGTAAAACCCTAGCTATGCCACTGGCTATGTGGTGCATTTTCTTGGAGTATGACCCCTTCTTTTCTTCTCCCCTCCCTCTTTTTTTTTTCATCATTTTTATTCGTTTATCTATTTATTTTTTGGTGAAAAAAGGGGGCGTGCGCCCCCACGCCCCGCCCCTGATCCGTGCTGGCGTGCGCGTCTGGCCATCGGACAAGTGTCTTTATCAGTTGGCGAGTGATGGCGCTATTCTCATCGTTACCAGACATGCGATTACGAGTGTGTACGTACATACATGTATATGTACATGTAGGTCTAAGTACATGTTCATGTACGTAATAAGCCTGCAGGCGCAGGCATGCATGGCCGGTACATGTTGACTAATCTGTAACCGCGTAATTAAGGAAGATGGCAGTGCCGATGTGGAACGACAGTCTAGTTTCGCCACCACCCGTTGCTAGTTGTTCCTACACTTGTTATGAAATTGACGAAGGTAACAATCAGTGTGCATGTGGGGCAGAGCCAGAAATGAGAAGGCTAAGGCCGATCTAGTTAAACACACCGTCTAAACGTTACACGTTATTACATACTAACGTAATAGGGGCCTAGAAGTAGAACTTAATTCCCCCTTAAAAATGTTTAGCTTTCACCCTAACTCCCTAGGGTGTGTGCAAAATCATATTAAAATTGGAGGATTCAGGGTGTTAGGGTTAATTTAGAGTTCTTGATTTTTTTAGTAGTGTAGGCTCCTGTTTATTTGTTTAAACCTCCAGCTCCCCCCCCCCCATATAATGTAGCCACATTGTCTGGCCACACTCAGCGTAGCACTGCCTAGCAGATCAGCAGAGACCAGTCAACTTTACATGTACATGTACTGTTCCTCCTAACTGGAGTATGGTTTTCTGCTCGAGCCTTAGTCTGCTAGAAGTCAGTGATTGATGTCTGAGTGTAAACTCGTAAGGTCCATCACTGTGTAGCCCTTTTTTTAAGGCCTTGGCGGCTAGTGTTTATGTGTAAATCTGCAAAGCGGCTGGACAGGAGACCACATGCACGAGTCGCACAGCCAGGAGGCCTTTTCCAACTTGTCAGGAATTTCTTTTGTTTTTCTTTGTGTGTTCGATTTTTGCTGCCCTGTTGGGGTAGCAAAAATCCCAACCAATCATAAGCGAGGAAGTCAGCATACATTAAAAAAATTAACCTATTATGCAAATTGAAAGTATACAAAAGATGGGGAGCATGTCAAGTGTGTCGGCGGCCGTGTGAGTGCAGGTCAGTTGTCTGAGCAGTATTTGGACAGTTCTTCTGCTGCAAAACTTCACCTTGCCAAGTTTAAATCGTTGCAGCGTTAGGCTATTGAAGTATCTGTACGTGGGCGTGACGTTTTCGTCTCTGCCCATGGGATATGGTAAGAGCTCCATATTTCAAGCCCTGTCGTTTTGCTTTGACCGTTCGGCCTTGATGAACTGCTACTTGCTAGTGTTACTCCAACATCAGCACCGTCCCCCACCAACAAGCATCATAGTTCTCATCTCACCGCTTATTGCCCTCTTGAAAAACCAGATGGAAACATTGGGTAAGCTTTGGAGTTGATGCCGTTTATTTCAGAGACTCATCTGCTTCAACTATTTACATGAAATTTACGAATAATGCATATCAGAAACCTTATGAATAATTCACCACAAAAACCTCAAAATTAAGTTGGAAAAGGCCTTGTGGCTGTGCCACTCGCCTGGTCTCCTGTCCAGTCACTTTGCAGTTGCACACACACAGCCACGAAGGCCTTGATGAAAGGCTAATCACTGTGTTGGTTTTAGTCCTTTTAAGTTTTAGTCTTTTGGTGTTAAGTCTTTTAGCCTTTTTGGGTTTTTTCTATCTTTTTTAGTACCTTTTCTTTAATAAATCCTTTTTGTCCCTTTCTGAAGTCAAATATTGGTGTCTGAGTCCTCGTTAATTCAGTTTCCTGCAACTTTTCCCTCAAAAATCCTTGGTTTAGTTACATTTTTTTGGTTAATTGTTTTGGTTTGGGACAGCGAGTTTTGCTGTAGGTTTTCCTTTTTCCCTGCCACGCTTCCACAATGACGGAGGGCAGGTTTTATTAAATAGGCCTAGCCTAAATTAAGTGACAATCCCTGACAGTAAAAAAAATTCACTAGCTGAGGCTCAATTGCAGAATACCCTACCACCCACCTCTCCCACATCGTAGCCGGGTATGATGTGGCGCTTGACCATTGACCACTCTTACACAAAATATGCACAGGACTGCTTACACACAAAATATGCACAGGGCTTCACCTACATGACCTACATGTAATCGTAATAGGCCACACAATGCCCGTATTGGAACTGCCCATGTTCAAATTGCCCGTTTTTGAATGGGCGGCTGAACTCGTCAATTAGCTGATTAGATTTGCTGTTTTGTAGAAGGGAAATAAACTTCTCTAATCAGACTTTCTCTTGTAATCGAGGCTTGGGAGGATGTTTTTTAGAAGGAAAATAAGTTCTTTGATCAGACTTTCTCCTTTATCTGTGGCTTGGGAGCATGTTTTTAGAAGGGGGCATAAAGTTCGCCCATAAGACTTCTGTTTATATGGCTTGGGAGAATTTTTTAATAAGGGGACGCTACCGATGTGAAGTTAGTTCCTTGTTCCTCATTTCAACTCCATTTCAACCGGGGTAAAGGCAGTTTTCCACGGTCCAAACGGTTGTGAGAAAAGTCTTGTCTTGTCAGTGGAGTTCTTTGCTTCCAAACCAGAGTGGGAAGTGAATACATCACACCACACTTTTCTCCAATCAAAATAAAATACCCAAAGCCCATGCCCCGCCTGGAGATTACATTGAAACTGATGTCATTGTTCTCTTCAATCAGAGACGACTTCTTACAACCCGGAGCATGGGGTGCTTCGGGGTCAAACAAGCCCTGACTGGTGTAGTGGGTACAGTTTGTTTTTTTTGTTCCCCCCAAAAGCTGTCTAGTAGTACTAAATAATACCTCGTTAACCACTTCATGCTAGAGCATTTTTCAATGTTGATGATGCTGGGCCGGCATAATTATCATTTTTTTCGTTTTCAAAATTCTTCAAAAATTCATCATTTCATTTAACAGACATTTATAGCCGCACAAAGTAATCTTTAGGCACTACTCTAAGTTGATAGGTGACCTTCATTGATGCCCTCTTTTCAATAGGGTCCAGATTAGCATGCAGCGGTGCTGTGTGGCTCATCACTGCGGTGGTGGAGTGCTTTTGTCCCCGGTGGTAATCCGCTCGCTATAAATGCCCCAAACCCTGGTGTACGGTTTCAAAACAAGGCTGGATTATCGCCACTTTTGAGAGTGAAAAATGTTGATAATGCCCAGCAGCCTGGTCTTTTGTTTGGAGTGTGGTCTTTTGTTACAGGGCCCTGTGTCCTTTGTCCAAGTTCGTAGACCCCGGCCACGCATATAAAGCATACGTCTCCGATTCTGGAGTCCCCGGCAGGAAGTGGTTAACACACATGCCTGATGTTTTTGGACCATGTAACCAGCTTTTCAAAAATCAATAATGCAACCTCAATCCCATGGGTGCGATCTTGGTGCTCTATGTGTACATTGATTCCCAATGCAGGAACGCACACGCGGCCCATGGAGTCGAGGTTGCCAATGATGTGATGCATTACACACTATTGGAGTGGTCACTGTCCCATTCGTTTGGAGGAATAAATCACTAACACTGACTCCATGGTTGACGTCCATGTACACGAGAAAGCATGAAATAGTTTTAAAATCTAGCATGTTTTGAAGTTGAAGTTCTTTTGACACTGATTTGAATTGAATAACATGCATCTTGTTGTAATTAATCAAACACCTTATTCAGCAATGTGATGTACATACAAGTCCTTTTCTAGAGTTGTGATACATTTTTATGTGTCCTAATGCAGTCAACAACCAAGTGGTGAATTTTTCTACTGTACCATACTAATTATTTCATCTCCTACCAGTGGATGTCTACAATTTAAAGTTAGCACTTCAAGTAATGCAGACTTCACACTCAGTGGGATTGGGTCTGTCCAGTGAGCAATACACCCTCAGCCGGTTATTGTACAAAGCCAACAATCAGCAACGTCATTGGCGATGGTACCAGATGCTAAAAAAGGTAATGACAGGTAACCAGAAGATTGATCTAAATAATATGTGCATTCAGTGAAATGGCTTTCTTGACTCCTCTGTTATTGTTATTATTGTTTGGTATTACCAGTCTCCAAGGGCATTGCTATTAATGCTTAGAGTTCATTAAAGGAGCCGTATACATTTATCTGTACATTTACAGTGCATCATGTTCAAGATACATGTAGGTCAGATATTGGTGAAATATGTACCTGTTAGCTGCCACAGTACCTTTCCCATGACAAGGGAACACTGCAAGTGTTTAGCGATCTTAGATTGGTCTATACAGAAACTGTTTTTCCAAGGTTTATATATGCACTGTATGTCCACCCACATGTGAACTTGGTTCCAATTCTGTAATTGATTTGGTTCTATTCTCAATGTGCGCATGCCATGATCTACACGGTCTACACATATTTCTACCTCGGTGCATGGACATTGGTTTCCTTATCTCCAACTTCTAGATGATCAACCATTCAATCACCAACTTGGAGAGTTCATTTTCAGTTGTGCACACAGCATATGAGACAGTCTAGCAGATTGAAGTGGGTCAGATTCCCAAGGAAATAAATGAGCAACCGTATGCAACGTGTATTCGGGGCCACCCCTCTTGAGGCACATTCCTTTTGTGTGTTTTTGTACCATAAAAGTGTCAGATAAGATACTGTTGTCAGTGGAAATTAACCATAGAACCCCACTGAGAGAGTGGAGATAAGTGGTACTAGCTTTAAGCAGGGAAAGGATACATGAATGCGTACATTCAAATTTGTATTACTGACAAGGGTATGACTGCACCTATCGTTACTTTGAGGGTTGGTATTGTGTGTTATGTAACTTTACAAATTTAATTATATGGCATGATTATGTGCAAAAATCAAGTATTTCACAACGATGCATTTTATTTCAATTCACAATTGACCTGGATGAGAATACTGATTGTTTGATGTCGCCAGATATGCAAATATGCCCAGACATATTGAGGAGAAAACCCCTTATATCAAAATGGATCCTCTCATCTGCATAGCTTTGTGCCATTGGATCTCACCACAGAAAGCATTAAATATGTTCGTGTCTGTACACGTACATGTACATGTATATGAATAGTGGTATTTGTCAAGTCATTAGATTAGTCGAAATTCAGCCAGTTATGTTACATATCCGACATAACACCGATGGAAGTTCACGGACAGAACACAACTACATGTATCTAACAACTTGTCATCAAGTCTAACCCAAATGCTGTTTTTCTGAGAAAACTGCAAAATAAAGTACTTTCTTCTTTTTTCAGATCCAGAAGAGTTTGAGCAAACTGCAAGCAAACCATCCCGTCAAATTCTGGGAAGACGCAGTCGGTTGTTGCCAAATGTAAGTTCACACCATCCTATCTATAATGATCCTACATGTAAGCCTGAATTAGAGATTCCATCAATGAAATCAGCTACAGACTGGCTACCGGTTACCATAGTGACTTTGATACACAATTTGGATGGAAAAATCCAAAAGCAATGTATGTAACTAACAAGCTGAATGCGACATAATCCGGGTTCTTGTTTCTTTTTACCCTTAAAATTGAAGCAACCGGGATCAGAGCGGATTGGGATCTATCATCATCCATCTACCAGCTCGTCAAATGCTTGAGTATATCCTAGTCAAGCTAATGGGTCAAGCAAAGTTGTGTGCGTACATTCTGAACACAGCCGAGTCAGTGTTCATGTATCCTTTTAAATCTGAAGTATTTATTTATCCTACTCCATCCTATGTGTAATGTTCTGGGCAGTAACTCACACAGGGTTGACACGTAGTTGCCAGTGAACTTTCTAGAGTGGTTTATTCCATGCATGCACTGCACATGCTCACTTAGGGTCATTAACATATTGGCATGACAACTGTATCATTGTATGCATACATTACACTATGAACCTGTGCAGGGAGGACACTATGTCAAGAATTAAATTAAAGAACAAGCCTGTCTACAAGATCCTCTTATGCACATGCTTGGATCAGACCATTTGGAGGACTCATTAAACATAAAAGTAAACCGAGAGTTTTACAAACTTGATGTTGTATGTCTTACAGTACTTTACTGTGGCTGCTAGGAATCAATGAAAATAGCACTCTCTTTGGAGAACAAGTTGAGGATTCTTCCACTGATGAAAAATGAATGTACATACCAGAAACAAGCTTAACATGTAACTAGTTTTCAAATGAATGTATGCAAAACCAGTGCATACTGTTCATGCCTTTTCAATGTTTGTTTGAGAGGAACACGTAAACATAGATATTGGTGTACTGGGTTCATTAGAATACAGGCCCCTCTTTATTATGTATTTCTATATTTCAATGAGGCTAGATTTTTCACTTAGTGTAGATGCCCTGATGAAAAACCTGTTTAACAGTAATTTCTGCGTGCTCATTCCTACATGTAAGTTTAGTTCTAAGTGGATCCCACAATTTTTTATCAGTGCTATGCACATATAACAAGTTCATGTTTTTAAAATTTCCTTATGGCGCTTCATTGATTGAAGGTTTTAATTACATGAATGATGGTACAGTTTTATTATCCTTATGAGAATTATGCAGCTTTGTAATTCAGAACATCAAATCTGGTCAATTCCTGGCACACAATGTGATCTATGCAAGCATTGCAAGCCGAATATGGTAAGCTACCAAATCTTTGACCAAGTCTATCTGAACAGGTTAAATCCGGTGTCTCTCTTTCAATAGACACAGGACTGTAGAATCTGGTTACTTTTTCTTTACGTAGTCCCTAGAATCTTCCACAGATTACTAGACTTTGGCTTATTCAGGAATTTTTTACCAAAAATACTCGACAGGTCACTGACCAAGACACAAACGTTGAAGTTATTTGGAGGGATTCAGTGTTGTAGAGCAAGGTTTAGTAGTCTTATCCCTCTTGAATCAATCTTGTTCCCTTTCAGGGTCATGATGCGGACAATGTTAAGAGACATCCTGATGTGGTATTCAACTCTCAGACCTTGGATTGACAAGCTGAAGGCAACATCCATGCAGTGGGTAAGTTGTGAGTAGGGCCTAGCCATTCATTGATGTTGCTCCAGTTACCTTCCCTCAAATATTCCTTATTCATGTACACTTGAGTTGCCATGGTAATGATCCTCCTCAGTTGGCACATGATGTTTGCTTACACAATCACTGAATGGTCATACTGTACCAGTTTTGCAGCTTAAAGTCCTTCTTTCGTTATTTTTGAGTATTGGTTTGACTTGTGCTCAAGTGAAGGTTTGTGCCCATTTATCATCTTTGCTCCAAGTTCACATCAGACCCAATTCTCTGTGATTACTGAACCCTGCTTAATTTAATTAGTGAACACTTTGGAATCATACTTTCATTTTGGGCTTTGTTTATTGGTATTTTGTGTAGTAATCTTTGATATATATTCCATGCAATATTTTAAGAGGGAAACAACATTAAAGGTGCTACATTTAGATCAGTTTTCTGTGGTTTCTGCCAATCCATAGAGGAAAGTCTCTTCCTTATCTGTCCTTGAGGGGTTAAATCTTGGCTTGATCACATATACTAACTTTCTTGAGCGTAACAGGAGAAGTAAGAAAGTAGATGCCTTTTGGACCATTTATTCAGATATTAGCTGGACAGGTCCTTCCAGACTGTCTACAAGACTGGCTCCGAGCTGACTATAATCCAGACAAATATAGCAAAGCAATGTAAGTTGAGTTTGTGTCAGGTCCCAAATTGGCACAGGTAGAAACAAGTTTAAACAGTTCAGTTTTTGCTTACGAGAAAAATATAACTTTTTTTCCCAATTTAATTCTCAGTGAAATTTGTAATCAATGCACAGTCCCCTGCAGTCACATACTTTCATGCATTCGGGTCAACATCCAACTGAAATTAGAGATTGGAGATTTTAAATCAGCATTTCATTACAACTAATATGAACAATTCTCAGGATTGAAAACCTCTCTGTGGTAATGCAAATTCCCCTTCATATTTGGTTCATTGTGGCAAAAAAGTCATCCGTTTGTAGATGTTACCAAAAATTGACAACTTAAGTACAGCTCTGCGGTATTTGTCAATGATTTAGTTTCATTTGGACCTTTTGTGATTATATATCGACAAGTCTAGCTGTTGTTATTTATGTTGGTTTTATGCTCAAGGCTTCAAAAAGCTTTTGTGTGTTGGTAGTGCCGTGCATTCACAGTGGCACACTGTACTAAGAATCCTAGTGATTTCATGTTACGTTAATCTTTGCATGTTAGGTTAACCAGATGTTATTGATCTATTCATTGCCAAAAAATGAATAATAATAACAATTTATAATAACTTTATAGAGAGCAAACTTCTAAGACGAAAGGCTCCAGCCTACTGGACAGCATGTTTGCCTCTACTAGTCTGGCAACGTCAGAACCCATCATGACAGAATCACTAACAGAGAAAGACCTCTACAACACTAATGTTGCCATGGCTGCATCTACAGCGCCCTCTATGGATCTAGGAGGTAAGAATGAATGAACAGGTCATAACATTTTGAATTCTCTTTTCTTACTGAAGAGAAACTTTCACAGGGTCGTTACTCTTCTGTTTGAAGTACAGTAAACAGTTTTCCTGCAAAATTTCAAATGTGCCCATTCAGATACTCTGAACAGTTTTCAGGCTTCAATATTTTTTTTATTTTAAACAAAATGCTAAGCGTGCAGTCCTTATACCTGTACTTGCTAATCAAATGCACATTTCAGAGCCCATTAAAGCTGGAGAGCTGGTGGAGAACAGAAAGAGGAAATGGTTGGACACAAGTTGCTTGCAAGAGTCAGATGCTAAGAGGTCACGATTAGAGGTTGAAACCAGGACTAAGGAGACTGGAGCATTGGCAAGTTGCTCTTCTAGCATCCAGCCAATCACCAAAATGAAGAAGTCGGAACAGAGGGAGGAGAAACATTTGGGAATACCAAAAGGAAAGAAGCAATCCAAAGGGATCTTGAAACAGTTGAAACTTAGTCTGAAAAGAAAGGAAAAAGGGACCCTGCAGAAAGGAGATGCAGAAAATGAGAACGAGGAAGTGGTTGGTTTGTCTTACAGAGGACCTGAAGAAACCACAAGAAACTGGTCCAAACAACTGAAGAACAAACTACAGAAGAAGCTTAGGAAGTTCAAGCAAAACTCTCCAGCCAGCAACGAAACATTATCAGAAAAGAAACTCTCGATAGAGGCACAAAATCCAATAGATGAAGAGGATGAAGTTGATGGAAAGCTTGATTCAGATTGGTTGGAAAGTAACCTTGACCAAAATAAATTAAAGGGCGTGAGCGAAGTTACTAAGGAATCCAAGAAGAACAAGAATAAAGTCAAAAGGGGATTTCAGAAGACCAGAAAACAAACGAAAAAATTAAAACACAAGGAATGGATACAAGAAACCGAAACTGAACCAAATTATTTAATTGGTTCATTAGGTGGTCAACATCCCGAAGACTCTTTCTCTTTAAGGCATCAGTTTCCTGATCCCAGTCAAACAGGGACCAACTACAAACTTGAAAAGAAAATTGACACCAGCAAATCCAAGAAATTCCAAAGTGACAAGGGTAGACAACCCAAGATTTGTGAAGAGTACAGGCAAATAAATAAGAATGGAACTGAAAGGATTGTGAAATCCATAAAAAAGAAAAGGCGTGCAGAGTTTAACAAATCTGAAGAAACAAAAGGTATGTACGCACAGCCTGAGAGAAATGCACCAGGAGCAATACCAAAGATGCATCAATGGGACTACTTACAGACCAACAAGAAGATGGCTAACAGTAAAAGAGACATCAGGACAGAAAGCAGTGTCAGCTTCAAAAGGATTCTCAGGAAACCAAAGAAACAGAGATCAGAATCTTCGTTAGTTTGTGATCTTAGCAAGATGACAAAAGGGAAAGGAGCAAGTTGTAACCGCAACCAAGACTCAGATATCGACCAAATATTTGCATGGTTAGAATGAACATGGAGTCTTGCCCAAATAATTTGGTTTTAGTATGTCACCTTTTGTGCTCACGAAAGGTTTTGTGCCACTCTTTAAAATAAGTAGGTACTCATTTGGAATGGTAACGATTTCATTGGAATTTCACCTTCTGAAAAATGGACCACAGCTTTGTAAAAGTATTGACCAAGATGGTGGAGAATAAGTTGATGAATACAAATATTGAATGCGTCGTCAAGTAATTGAAAGGCTAAATGAAGTCCGGTATGGCATTGTTTTTATTGCTTCTAATGCCTGTATTTTTTTCAAAATTACAAATGTAAATACATATATTGTTTAAAAAGTGTTGTCGTGATAATTTTTTAATATACTTGTACCACAAGAAAAACTGGGAAATTGGAAATGCAGCTGTTTGCTTTGAGTCAGACCCGTTACGTTATTTTAACCCGGGGCATAAATCCTTGGGGGGGTATACATGTACATCCCCCTTTCTTTGATGTGGGGGACGGGCTGTTGAATCACCCACACCCACTTTTTTGTGATGAGCAAAAAAATTAAAGCGGATTGTGAAAGATTTTCATGATTACCCAACTACTGAAATATTTGCAATAAAAAAGGAAAGCAAGTTTTAAAAGCCATAAATATGCCATTCCGGTGTAAGATTCTGCATGAATTTGATACACATTGCAGATGTACATCTTTATCATGACTGTCGCCCCCATGTAGTGTATATATGGTGTCACCCACGCTTTTCAAATATCCATGGTAAGGCAAGTCATCCCCCACCTTTCCTGAACCCCTCCCGCCCATTTCCAACAGGTATTGACGCCACTGGTTTTCACTCAGAGGAGTTATGTAATCTAAGCATTTCAAATTGGCTTAACGTTTAAAACATTCTTGACAAATTAATGACGTCAAATATTACAAAATTAATAAAAATGAAAGGTGCGTTGTATTGTGTTTGTAAGTAACTATTTGAATTATTTATGTCCCAGTGGCTGCTTCATCACTGTGGCGTATTATTGATGGTTATGATGGCTGTCAAGGTAGTTTCTAATGAGAACATTGTACAGTGAACACACGCGAAATACTGTACATGCACCTTTTAGGACTTCAGCTAGACGTCCGAACTCTTCTATTGACGATTTACTGGAGAAACGGTTAGATTCATCCGTCGTAGTTGTTTACAACTTCAAAGCCAAGTTCGTCATTTTATGTAGATGACTTCCTTTAAACCAAACCCACATCAACCAATAAGTGAGTCACTCTCGTTCTAGTCAGTCACTATTTCAAACGCACCGTGCCCCATCTACATACGGAAGTAGTCCTGTCCTCGATATATCCTGTTGTAGCTGGAAACCAGGTAACAGTGGTTCAAACTTCATTGAAAACAAATCAAAATGTACAAGAATTCAAGGAGGCTCTGTCAGTTGATTCATTGGACAAAAAGTTCGGTGACCGAAACCGTACTCATCCACGGACGTGTATAATAAAATCTGGACTCGCAATGCCCTTAATCAGCTTATAGAGTCATTGAATCCACTCGCAGCCATTTTACCGAGCCGAATACAAAGCTTTTCTGTAATGCCCGCCTTTGCTCTTCCTGACGTCAATAGTAGGGAGCCAACCCAGTCCTGCAACCCACGCCTTTGTATTCGGCTCGGTAAAATGGCCGCTGGTTGGCTTCTTTTTCATACAAAGGCGTTGCAAGTCCAGGTTTTTTTTATATACGTCCGTGTACTCATCCAGCTTGTATTAGTGGACGAAATTTTCAAAACGAGATCGGGCTGTGCTCTTAACCAAGGCACGGACGCCTCGCCCAGGGGAAATTATTCCATAGACGAGACTCTTGCCAGGATCATACGGGATGGTCTTACCCCTGCACTCTAAGGCCCCCCTCTTAACCGGTGGCGCATCCAGTGGTCGGTATGGGAGAGCAAAATCGGATGAAAACGGTCTTTTTTTCTTCCGTAACAGAATGCTGACTTTACCCTCGGCCCCAGAGAAAGTTTGTTGTCCCTTTTTGAGGTTTTCAATTCTTAACTAAAGAGGCAACTAATTTCCCCCACCCCCGCAGGATACGCCACTGTTCAACGGGCTAGCCCATTACACCCAGATCACATCTGAAATGCGTGGCTGCGTCTGTCGTTGAAGCCATTTTCCCTGAAACAAATCCCAGCTAACATTGGATAGAAGGGTTGGGAGATTCAGTAAACTCTGTACAGGTGCTTGTGTGGATTTCAGTTATTTTTCCCCCGTCGTACCCACTGACTGAGAGTGCTGGTATCGTTTCGAAGCTGCCACACGAAGGCTACACTACATGTATAGACATGTCCACATTATGGGCAGGGTCATCGAGGGTGCATCGGGATTGGTGTTAAGTTAGTGATGAGGAGTCGATAATTTTACAATGTTTGTGAAGAAAAGTACACTTACAAGCATTACAATTGTCTGAAATCGTTTGTATTTCATTACATGTGTTTATGACTTCCCTTAGTCTTGAAGGATCCATGGAATGTTTTTTTTTCTTAAATTTACTTATTGTGCATCTGAATGCTTTTCTTCGATGTATGAGAACTGCGTAGTTTAAAAACTGTGTCTAAGCTTTTCCGTAAAAGTGAAGGCCCTGTTGCTGTGCAGGGAAGGCACTATTCAGTTTACGTGTTTTCATGTTCAATTTTGAGCCCCATATTTGCCCTTTGAAAATGAAATTTTGCTTGGTGCCATTTATTTGCACAACAATAAATTGCAAAAAAATCGAAATTTACCACAGCAAATAAAACACATTCAACAGGTTTTGTGCTGAAATCAATTCAACATTTAGGTTCAGTGCCAGGGATGACATATCAGTTTGGTCATATGCAAATGTACATTTGCTTACAAATCAGAAGGGCTCCAAGATACAGATTAAAATAGCAAAGGTGCACTTTTGGCTTTGTAGGGAAAAAATCCCTATACTGTGCTGTTTTTTAAATCGAGATCCAGACAGAACATTTTATGTTTACAAACTGCCGAGAGTTCTCCGGCACCATGGCCAATACGTGAGAGAAAATGAGCCAAATGGTCACGGTGTACTGAGGAACTATACTGGCGGCTGTAGCCTTAGCTATGTGGGTCGCGTTGCCTAGGAAAAAAAAGTGGGTGGCAACAACTAAGAGGGGTGCGGAACAGTGGGTGTCGGCACGCATCGCATTACGTACATTGGCCACGTGACTGTTAACACGTGATGCGCCTTTCTCGACCAGCATTCAAAGTTCAAAGCCTGCTGCCCGAATTCGCAGTTATCTGCCAAGTCATGTGAATCTGAGCAATCTGGACTGTGTACATTTAGACACAAATAGCTCATTCCTTTTGTTGACTGCGGTTATTTCTGGGATTCCGTTTGGTCTGGTATACTAATCGGAATCACATATTGGTCACCACACCACAACAAGGGAATCCTCGATCGGAAGCATTACTCATCTCAGAGGACTATCCCAAACGCCAAAAATACGTGACTCATCCGAGGATCTGCGTAATCAAAGTTGAGGGACTGGTCTGTTGTACTGTGGCACAATGCCAAGCCCGTGCTGATGCGGACCTTCGTAGCTTCCGCTCATGGTCCTGGGGTGAATATATAAACCTGGTCCATAGTTGAACCCCGGTAGAATTGTTTCCCTCAGCTGGTATCCTTGCAGCGGTATTCGTGATTTGAGCTGAACAGCTGTGTTTGTTGTTGGTTTTCATCGTTGGTGAGTTAATTCCGATTAAATTATTTTATTAAACTCATGTAATCGGTTTTTTCTAGGGATTTGGTTAATCTGCTTAATTTAAAAACCGGAATCTCATTACCTTTCGTAGTACCGTATATACAGCCGTGGTATATAGATTTGGGCTGTGAGATCCTCATACGAGTGCTTGGATAGAATTTGTATCAAGGGGGGGGGCTATGTCAGCTTCCTTATAGACGAATGCACTGGCATGGTGGACGTTTACCTCAGAATATGCGGGATAATGAGCTGAGATGGAAGTAAGTCAGGGTGTTTCCATGGTCTAAGGCACTGTAGATGTCGCCAAGGTGCGTTATTTCAGCATATACAAGTATACTCTTCTGAATCATGGTCTACTCTTCCAACCCCACACCCCAGCGACTGGTCACTATTTATGCGCGCATGTTCACTCTGTTCATAAAGTTAATGATATTCTGTCCGGCATAATTGAAACTCATTTTTGAAAACAAGAAGCTTGGGAGGGAGGTTTTTGTGACCTTAATTCGTGCAGTGTTTCGGGGATCGCTTCGCTGAAATAGAAAAAAAAATGAAAACATGCATGCAGGCCGCTACGTGCTAATACGAACGAACATACGAACAAGTACAAAATATTCAGATTGCTGGATGCGTAGCTCGTGACCTTTGCAACACAAAAGTCAGTTTTTTATACTACCCGCATGTATCGACTGCATCATTACCAGTGGCTTTTATTTTTCACTTTGGCTATACAGCAGGTTGCATTTTCTTTTTCAGGTCATCCATTTTACAGATGTTACATATTTAGTTACCCCATTTACGTTATTCGTTCTTTGGATGTTTTGGTTCGAGGATGATTTTTGAATACTCAATGAATTCAGTATCTTTTTTCTGATTGAATAATTGTAGTAGAATACAGTTGATTTTCCAACAGAACGACGAGCTGATAAGTGCATTAACGGGGTTTCCCTTAAGGTTTTCTCCAACATATAATTAGTCCCTTGTGATGTGTTGTCTGTACGTTCGATTTGACGATTCACGTAATGAAATCACTGTGGAAAATATATGAAACATTTCTTAAAGACAAATCTTGATATTTCTTGGGACTACTCGGGAAGGGGAACGAAAAATTCATAGATTATGATTTAACCTTTTTCCTTTTTTGTTTGAATTTGTGTGGCTTGTTTCCTTATAAGTGTAAATATAAAATGAGTTTTGGTTTGTTTTGTTTTCTAATTAGGTTCATTTCGGTTTCATCCTTTAGTTTTGGAATTATTAATCTGGGTTTCTATCCAAGCACCCTGGTAAAAAAAAATCCCGCCTTTTTAACATTGAGACAAATATCCAACTGGATGTTAGAATTTCCGCTCGCTGTGCATTGTGTTGGGCAGTGATTTTTAATATTTTAAGTTGATAATCTTTATTTTAAAACAACCGCGAAACCCTAAAGCATTTATCCTTTCCGCGGTACGCCACTTCAGTAAACGTTACTGGGTAAATGGTGCAGTGCTGATATCAATTAGAGTTACTATTACTTTTGCTGATTGGCAAACTTACATCCCCCCCTCATCTCCTTAGTCTGGTGCTGCTGTACATAAAAACGATTTAACCATAATTACCATTACTGTTGCCAATATTATATCTCATTTCCCTTGGAACTGTTGTACGTGTCTTGCACCATGTAATGTTGATCTGCCATCTCATGCTCATCGTTGAACGGTAGGCCTGTGTGCTATTATGGTTTTGAAAATTGACAATTAAACAATTAGAACGAGTGTGTTCTATTTTGTTTGGCAGATGTTGTCGTTAGGTGATCGATAGCCAACAACATTTACCGTGCAGTTTTCGAAGGAATTTCACTGGTCTTTCCTTGGAGTCGACGATAAATACCGACTGTTAATGCTAATCCTCCCACCATTGAAATTATTTCCCTGTATTACTCGGCATAGCAATCACAATCATTTGTGGGTCTGTGTAAGCTAAACATTGTTGACTGCTGTGATGTGGGACATGGCCCTTTTCACACCCAAGTTGAAAGAGTTAATATACATGTACTCCGTAGGAAAAAAAGTATGCATCCGAAGCGACCAAGATCACAACACGTGTCAGCCGACAAATTTTTTAATACCTACAATTAAAATCATAACGCAAATACGTTAAAAACAAACAGGCAAAAACAACAAAAAACAAACAGATATATTTCCGCCAGAAAAAAAAGAACTGACTGTGATGAAGCGTTTTGATTTCCGTCCACTGAAAGAGGTCTTTCTGGAATAATGGTGAGGTCTATTATAAACTTAGCGATGCAGTGTACGCAAGCATACTTCTTTTCGACTGTTAAAGTACTTAACCGTTTCAAGCAATCAAATTTCAGTATAAAAAGACCGACAGTTTTGTTGTGTAGAGAAACAAACAGAGAGAATTTATTAAGTGAATTTAGGTTTTGTGAAGGCAGTGTTTAGAGCTACCTAGTTCTAAAGTTGCAGACATCACCTTTTGCAACTTACTTCGACTATTATAGAGCCTTACAATTCGAGTTAAATTATACTTTTCAGTGCATTTCAGTCAGTTGTTTCTGCACTTCTATAGCTTTTCCACGTCACGTGTATGTGAATGTACCTTTCCATATGACCTTATTATTCCGTTAAAGACCAAGATAGGTCACTTATTTCCGGGTCTACAATCAATTCACTTGAACTGCGCATAGGTCGTTCATTATGCCATCTGTGGAACTTTTATTGCTCTTCTTTATCGTATACAATATTGAAACTTTCGTTTCCCGTTAATCAACCTTTTCAAGGGAACTCTTTGGGTTTAGTTAAAGCTTTTAAGGTTAATGGTTGAAGGTGACACATCTGAGCAACGCTGTTTAGTAGTCATCTATAGGTAGGGCTACTAGTTAAGAACTGCTTTGAATGGAGAAATCAAAATCAAATTAGCATTAATTCTAATCCAAACTTTCACAAGGATAAAGAAAAAGTAAGAAACATACTGTATTTTTAATTGTTCCTTTAATAGCATTTGTAAAATTATTGACTTTTGATAATGTGTTTTGTGTGTTCTGAAAGTTGAAACACTTTTACTTAAAAGTACCTGTTTCCTGTTAATCCAAGAGCATATGGAAGATGAAAGGTGATCATTTAACAAGCTGTCACTTTCGAAAACAAAATAGAAAATGTATACAAGGTTTGTTCCTGAACACTGGAATATTTAAAAACCAGCACATTACACAAGAATTGAATAGTTTTATTTAAAGGTTTAAAGGCAACTTGTGCTCTAATAGGCCTGATTCATTCTGCAATAATTTCCAAAGTAAAGCTTACTACTCTTTTCCTGACTATATGATCAAACTGATTTTAACAATTTGCCAGTCTCCATGCCGTTCTTTTGAAATTCTACTTTTTAAAAAGCAAAACGGGTTCCCTCAGCGACAAATCGAACTACAAGTATTATGTTGACATTAACATTGCTTCTGTTTATGTTAAAACGCAAGCAATCCTCAATTAGTTTACACTGGGGAGAAGTCATTCCTATATTTGTCATTTGTAAAAACGTAATTATTGAAATATTGGATTATGTAAATGACTAAATAACATTCCTGAATATTATCTTCCCTGATGTAAATTGTTTAAAAAAATTTTAATCACTGAGCTTTTCTTTGTAAGCCCATGCATGATCGCTTTTTTGGTTTTTCTCCAAGTCGTATACTGTTGGAAGGTCAAATGTTAAAGTATGTCAAGGATTTTGGACCATGTAAATTATCTCCAAGGAGTTTTTTATTTTGATTGACTGCATCAAGGATGTTTATGATGCCGATAAATCATTATTTTAGAGTCAACATAGCACAGGAATAATTAAAACATTCATTGTGAACCCATTCGCCGATATAATTACACAAAAAAATAATGCTTTAACTTTTTGTCATTTCTGGGCCATATTTTTATTCGAATCAACTGAAGCAATAAGCGAATTCATTCAGTCCTTTTCAACAGTTGTAGATTTATCTGCTCAAGGGAGTTAATTATCGCATTAATATATTCTTCCAAGAATGTGAATCCTGGTAAAGTGTTTCTTTAAATAAACTCTTCCTTTTTTCTTTTTTTTTGAAAAATCGAGTCTGTGTACTGGAACCTTGCATAAAGTATTTGGGACCCGAAAACAGGAAATCACACAAGAAGGACAATATTAAGCTAGGACAATTGGACATGCGGGGGTTGCAAATCTAAACACGCCCTTCCAAACCTATTTCTATTTGCCCCGCAGTGTATATGGACACTAACAGAAAATATTTTCTGTTTGCATATATACATTTTCAAAGGGACGGATGCGTGGTATAATTACTTTAAAAACACCGACCTGATTATTAAAGAGAGATGACCCTAATAATTTACAAAAGATGTTATATCAAATAATCGAATTCCGACCTGTGTAGTAGCATCGACAAAGTGGATGCTGAACTATCATGACTTTGGAGGCACAAAAATACAGTAATTTCAGGATGTCTTCAAGTGGGCTTAATTTAATCTTCATTTTCTGTTACTGAACAACCTTTTTCTTTTCAATAAAAAATATGCTGACGAAGTCAGCACCTTTTGTAACTAAAATGCGCGGCTTGACTGCCTCTAGAAATGAATTTTAGTAGTACTTTTTTTCTTTTTTTAAATGAGGTAATTTAGTTTGAGCTCTCTAATAAAAAATACTTTGGAAAGAGTTTATGCTTCAAGCCTGTAAGGTCCTGGGTGATGTTTCATTTCAGTACCAGTCAGTCATTATTTTTAATCATGAACAGTTGGAAAAAATTGACTCAGGAGTTTCTAGATTTAATCTGTCTTTGTCTTTTAAACTGCAACGTGAGGCATTGGGATTGTAAGATTTTGCCAAAGCATGCATGCCCCGGAACATTAGTAGAAGATGCAGGCAAAATAGAACCTCTTGTCTCCTATCGTTTCCTGTTTGTTTCCACCCTTGTTTACAGCGGAAAGACCATTTGTCTTTCATTCTTATTTATGGGTTTGCCCTGTCACTGACGTATATACTCGGTATTGTCCAAGAGCTTGCAAAAAATTCACAAGCTTGTACTCGGGCGGGGCTTGGAACTCGATCTCCTGCTACGTCATATAGCCACTCATGAACCGAGCTGGCCTGGGTCGGCTGGCCAGCTAAGTCAGATGTAGCAGCGGGTACCACAATCGAACAAAATACTTTGCAATACCAAGCAGGAGCTCGTTTTTTTTTACGCCAGTTGTCGGAAATCACTGGGTATTTAGTGTCATGATGATCCCATAATTAAAAATTAACATCTCTACGACTCAGAGTTTATCTTTGAAAATATGCGTCTTTACGTGGTTGGACAAAATTTGTGGATCGCGGGATCTGAAGACTTTCCGTGTATTAAGGCTTATCCATTGGTGTTTTTATTTTTTATGCATTATAACAGAAAATAAATCTCCATGGATACCGAGGCAAACTTGGAACCACTTATCATGCCCATCGTTGACGGTGCCTGGGATCAACCTAACTACGAGATGGCGGCTACCAGCCTAGCAACAGAAGTTGCTGCTGCAGCAGTTACAACGACTGCATCAGAATCAGCAATATCAGCTGACGGATTTGATCAGTCTACCAGCCCACCCCACATGAACAGAATGGAAACTGAGGGAAACTTGCTGCAGCACACTATGTTAAGAGAGGAACTTCGTGTGAATATCATGCACAGACGGTTACAGAAGGGGCTGGGAGCTGTGCAACTGGAATGGAGGTTTGCCAAGTCAGACAAGGTAGGAACACTACACAAAGTTACCGGAATAAATTAGGAACACCTCGTACTGGCAGACGATGCAGCTGTTAACGCAGTCTTGAAAAGGCGCTTATAAAAAGTGGGTAGGGTCGAAGCTTCCCTTCAAAATCCTAAACACTCAATTGAGTCTCATGGAGGGCTGTATTGTAATTACCGGAACGATAAGGACATTTTAAGGGAGCACTGAAACTCTCTGTTTCGATGATTATTTTGATTCATTCTACATAAAACCATCTGATCTTAGAGGTGCCTTTCCATAGACGCGTTTTCAGTGCGTGTCTTAGTCCGTACTAAGTATGCCCATTATTTTAATCGCGATACACGGATTCGCACGGAATGGACCCCAAAAATGCTCATGGAAAATTGCCGTTATTCCGACTGTAGTCCGTCTTTAGCGTGCTTCCTCCGTGAAATGTGGAATAGGAATACATGTACTAAAATACCACATGTATTCGTTCACGTTTTGTCAAACTGGGCAAAACATGTTTGGAGAGAAAAAAGTAGGGCTTTCAGGGCTTACAGATGAGTCCACTGGGAAAAAACACTTTATCTCAAATATCCACTGAGATCAGCCCTTGGTCAAGGCTAGAAAACATCCTGCATATGGACGGACGGCAAGTTCACCTATGACTAAGCAGATGCCTCAACAAAGTTACGGTCCATGTGTGCTCATGCTGCAGACCGGCGTAGCATCTGGGGTTATCGGTTCTGCCACCTAACATACACGCTTTAAATCATATTTATAAACCTAACGTCCCTCAGAATGAATAAAAATAGTTCGCAGTTTTTTTTAATTGCACGTTATATTATGAGTTTACGGCACGCTTGTTTTCGAACCTTTTTATTGTTAATAGCTCACGCCAGAAGAGGAACAAAAGAGAAGACTCAGACGGGAGAGGAACCGCGTGGCTGCCTCAAGATGTCGGGAGAGAAGAAGAGAAAAGACCTTCGTCTTGGTCACAGTGAGTCCGTTGACAAACTCATTCTTCTGACTTCTGACACTTTGAATTTGTTGTTGCAGGCAAAGTCACTGTAAAGATTTATTTAGTATGGTACACTGCCAATAGCGGTGGCAAACCATCAAGAGAATTACACTAATATCCACTATGATGCCATAAGATGTTTATTCTCGAAATCGGTCTCGATTTTTGCAGGAGACTGACAAGTTAGAAACCAGTAATCAAGAGCTAATGGCGGAGATTCAACAGTTGGAGACAGAAAGACAAGAGTTAATGTCAATCCTAGCTGCCCATCAGCAAACATGTGGCTGCAGTCCACCCGTTTTGACTCCAAGCATAGAAGATCTACACATTGACCCATGACTTGCAGCTAACTGAACTTGAACTAGACGAGGAAACCCGCATATAGACCAGACATTTTGTATATTGTCCATGATGAAACGACGAGAGTCGTCCCATATATATATCGTGGATACACATGCATGGATTAATGACTCTCCAACGCTGAGTGTTAGAGGCTGTGAATTATAGAAGCAGAGAAACTTGTGTTAATCCACCCATCTGTTCATCGTGGATTGCGATCGATATAACAACTAAATTTGAACTTTATCGGGGATCTGTGTTGTGTAATCTTGAAACCGACCAGAAGCAAAAAACAAATGTGCCAGAGATCTTGGACTGGGTGTGTTGACCTGTGTGTCATAAACTTCAGTGCACATCTTTAAGGAAGGTTGATCCCGTTCTCCTTTTCTGCAATAGGAGATCTTTGGATCTCTCAAAGGCTTTTGACATTGGGTTCAACCTCTTTGGTTTTTCTTCCCGGTTCTGTTTGTTACCGATTGCAAAATTACTATTGCAACTGCTGCTGTCACGAGAAAAAAAGCGTTTAGGCGCTGAGTGTTATCACAGAATAAGTGAATTTAGGATACCATCTTCAAAATATAGCGGACTAGCCCAGTCTCCATTCCCCTGCAGAGTTCCCATAGACATGTTCAGTTCCATAGTTGATCGAGATATTACTGCCTACATACTGCAACTTGGAGAGGGGACTGGGTCCAAGTCTAGGGATGGACCATTATTATTTTGTGTGGACGTCAATTTTTCACGGGAAATCATGGCCTTGCCTATCCCACCCCTTCCGTGGAATCTTCAGCCACATCCATCTTTACTATACTCAAGTTCACCTAAAATCTTAATTGTTGCGAGAAACAAAACCGTTAAGGTTAGGCACGGAGATTATGTCCTGTTTACATATCCTTAAGATCAATACATATTTGCCAGTGCAAGTCTTTCATTTACAACACACTGTAGGAACTGTATATTTTGTGAAATAAAATTTCCTGTCAATTGTAAACAAACCGACATTATTTTGCATTTTGTGAAATAAAGATGGATAAAATTAATCAACGTCATTAACTCTATTTGTAGAAGGAATGAGATTCATGGACCGAAGCGAATTAATTACTGATGCAGCTCCAGCTCTATCGACGGGGTCTCTCTAACAGCCCCCACCCACAAAAACGTTTGGAAGACAACGATTTAGTGACAGAATATGGACGAGAAGCCTAAAATTACGAAATACTGAGAATATACGAATAGGTAGATGTGCTTTTATGAATGTAAATAGCATTCGAGAGGCAACTGTTATCAGTATATAGCAATGATCATTGATTAATCATCGATCTATCTATGCACACACTCCCAAAAGATCAATGTATTTGACAGTTGATTGATAAATGTGAACATTTAGAGTGATACTTTTAGCACAAGTGTGTTGAAGCATCGAGGTAGAAGCAGGTTGAAAAGTTTCAATGAATCTGCCACCGATAGAGAGTAGAGAAATAAAACGATCGATCATTGAACGCGTATTCATACGCGCGACGTGTCACTCAGTACAGCCTTCATGAGTGCAACACAGAATTCCTGACAGCCGCTGAGCCTGAAGTAATACCTTGCAAGGACATGTTCACATGTTGTTAGTGACCTTATTACCATATCAATATCTTCATCATGGTTGGCCGAACCTTGTCAAAAACATCACTCACTAGTCACAGTACAGGAGCTTGTGTAGAACTTTTAGGTCTGGCCTCGCTATCAGCTTCAGGGTACGGGTTTAAGCCCCAGACTGTATACATATTCTTTGATTTTTCACGGCACACGCACTGTATAGCAGGGCGTGTCTGAGCTGTGGACTTGGAGTGCAGTTGTGATTTGGAATCTTGTGCACTGCAGTCACTTTCTTCATCACCTATCGGTAAGTACAGGACCGCCATTCTTCAGTTGCGTGGTATACCGTGTATGGTAGGCCTACCACATCTTGAGGATAGCACAACGCGTGCCGTGAGAAATGTCAGAAGACGTTGTGAACTTGTGTTGATGTCTTGTGTTAAGTGTCATGGTTCCACTCTCTAATAATTGTGCACATACTATCATCACGGTGTTTGTGTTCAGTGCACGTTTGACTCTGGACACTTTTATAACTCGTGAACGAAATGTGATATTGATACGAAGGTTTGTTCAACTGCTTGCATGATCAACACAAATCAAACGGACACCCTGGTTGTGATTTGGAGTTTACATTAACATTCTGAGTGATTTTATCAAGGTTTAGGATCTACAATCGGCCCTAGTATTTGACAAAAATCTGCAAAGTTCAATCATTTAATTAACATGTTCCCTCATCCTTCCACTGATTTCTAGACTGTTCCTGACTTTTGTCATGTTATTGTAAGCCAAAATTACCACTTGAGACTGATTGTTTTACTGACGTTTTCGAACCAGGTCACCCCTTCTCCAAAATTATAATTGCAGTAACTTTATTTCCATTGTAGATATCTAACAAATCTGACAAGTTGACCAAAATGTTCACAAAGTCATAGCGATGAAGGCCACTGGTGTGTTGGATGTTGTCTTTTTCTTCTGCCTTTTTAACTGTACTTTGTAAGTGCATTTGCATTTAGCAATGTTAACCGTCTCTGCTACTGAAGCGTCATTACGCAGTCGTCGACATGCAGACCAATTTGAATATTTGTTGTGACTGCAAACTTTAATAACCACATGGCATTAACGTAATCATGCATTTTTCCTAAAACATACTGACTCCGAGTAATTTGAAAATCGGAGACCCTGCTGGAAATATCCGAAAGAAACCTGTGATTTTAACGGATCTTTTGTTATTTTCCAGAAGCAGTTTCATATGCTGTTATATTATGTTGTCTTTGTGTTTCGGCCTTGCCATATTCAACTGCCGATTCCTTTTTCTCATCCATTGGAAATAATTCTGAGCTGCATCTGTTTAAAGTGTTGCTTCTGTGTTAGGTTAAAGGAGCACTACACTATAAAAATATCCCTCTTAAAATATTGCCCATTACTAATTTTTGTTCGTCTAAAAAGTGTCAACCGTCTGAAAATATAGGCAGTGAATTTTATTTAATGTTGATAACCCCATTGCTAAAATAAACAAAGACAAAAGTGCATATTGCTTGTATGTGTAAAAAAAACTTGTCAACTTTTCGACCCGTGTTGATCGAGTCTAATAAGGATAAATTTAGTCTTTACAAAAGCGCTGCTGAAGCGATCATCAAATTGCCTATCTTGATACAATCTTCGTATGTTTGAACTTTGATTCGGCGTGTTTACAAACCTAAAGGTAGCCTCACATCCAGCAGTAATTTGTAATTGTAGTTTTCACGTAAGAGCCATGTCCACGATAATGTGTCTTTAATCGTGTCCTCGGCAAAATTCATTGTTACATGGTTCAAGTTCGCGGTTCGTTGATAAGAGCTCCGTACTTTCGATCAGTGAGCCATCTCTCTAAGTTGCGGCCATGGTATCGCCCACCTCCAAGCTAACTCCACTCACAGAGTTACAAACCCTCCACCGTACTACATGTACAGTACATGTTCATAGAATCCTGGTAGCTAACACCCCTCTCAACGTGTCCTTGGCACTTGACACACCAACGATATTTAGAGTGTGTTGGCATTTAGTGCGCCATTGTCATGTATGCATTTATCATTCACATAAGTCTGTACGTGAAAATCCAGCCGCACGGGCTAGGTCGAGTGTAATAATAAAAAAAAAAATTGTTAGCCCTTATGGCTCCGAGCAATACGGAACGACGCCACTTTTGGACTACACTTCTGCCTGACAATGACGCTTCACTGGCTCACCGTTCTTTAGTCAGTAATGTGTTCTGGGTTGTCGTTTTAACTCTGACTAGTTGAAGTGAGAACAAGCAATCGGCTTAGCCTGTCTGCTGTTGATAGGTAAGGTGGTATATTGTGTACAGAACCTATTACGCTACTGAGGGAACCTGGATCTCTATCGCACAAGAAGGAGACCTATATCTGTAAAGATGAAATAGGCCCTATGGTAGCTAGAATCATGCATGGAGAAATTTCTCGAGGAAACATTCAGGAGAACTTGAGAAAAAAGTCTACAGTGTTTGTATGTGTAGTCGAGTCCTGTACATTTTCAATTGGTTGGTTTTGCGCATGCGTCACATAAGTAGAATTTATTAGTAAGATTCTTGGTCCAAGACACAAGTGGAAAGATTTAGTTATTCTGGTTAAGCCTTGGTGTGACTGATTTGGAAGGTTACCTGAAATCATTCCTGGGAGGGCTCTGTACACTTATGTTTGCCCAATGCACGCAATCCATTGTCATAGTGTGCAAAATTGCAGTGCCATTGCTACCGGTTCAATAAAACTTGGAACTTTTTCTGAGGCAGATGTTTAAAAAAGGAAGAAATCTTTGGATCTTTTTTCAGAGGCAGATTTTTTTAAGAAGAGGAAAATATCTGGGAGAGAATAAAATAAAAGACAATAAACAATACTGTTCTGGTTTAGGAATATCCTATCTCTGTTTACATCTCCCCAACTAAACTGTAAGGTTTTTTATTGAACCACGTGGTACACTCTTGCCGATATAGCGATTAAATTGCCAGTGGCACCTCTGACATTCAGTCTGCCTCACATTTCAAGTCACATTCAGAGATAAGTGATATTCAATAATATAGAGAGATTTATTATTTCTTTTGAAAGAAAGTCAGCATGGAAAGCAGCAGTGTCACAAGGACCTCTCACACAACAACTACAGTGGTGTCCCAACAACCTATGGTGGGCGAGAGCCGGACAGTCATAGTCCGCGTAAGAAAAGAGTTCCTTTATAGTTAAACACTGCATAGGCCATTGACAATCCCTCTTCCCACTGTGTGACAAGATCCACCAATTAAAGCAGTCATAAATGGAAGGGTAAAACGACCATTCTAAATTGTTAGGGGATGATTCAATACTGTCCAATTTGACATATTGCTTCAACATATTGTTGCCGCAAACTACTCACGAAGTAAATATGAGGATTTGCATGCAGTCCTTTCTTAATGCAAAAGAGTGAACATCCAGTTGTGTTTCATTATTTAGACGATTTGAAAGGATTTGAATTTCACCCTGAGCGTGCTTTTTTTGCTGTTTTCTCTCTTTTACATTTAAGAGAGTGTTTTATCAATCTTTACCCGGTCATTTATATGTATGGCCATTGCTGTTTATCAGTTGTTTATGTGGTATTCAGTTTACACTTCATTACAATTTACAATTCCTTTCAAACACAAGCACTTTTCATCTTTCTCACATTTTGGCACACAGAACCAAGTTACCGAACATGATTGGTCCAGCGGATTGTGTGAATGTCACAGAGATATTAAAACATGTGAGTAGACTTCATGTCGATGTTCTGATCATGACTTCTTCACTTTAGAGTGTGATTAAAGTGCAAAACATCGAGATGATTATATATATATAGCAGGAGCTTTGTATCTGGTTCTTACTGTTTTGGCTTTCATGATTCTTCGTTTCTTAGGTCTGTTGTCCTTCTTTTGCATGCCGTGTTTCGCCTGTTATGTAGCCTCCCGGCAGAATGAGTTTGCATGCATTCCGCTGTGCGTACCAGGTGGAGAGATAGCTATGCGTACAAAGCTTCGAACGCAAGAAAACATCCGCGTGAGTGCCCACAGTCAATGCTTGTAACACCTTTGTTGGTATAGTGCTACCTGTCGATTTAAGATTTGACCTTGCCATAGGTGTCTAATTTATTGGTTTGGATCATGTATTAGGTGTCATCCCAATCAAAAACATGTCTGTTTTGTCACAATTCACAGGGATCAATCTGTGATGACTGCCTGAAACTGATTTTCTGCCCATGTTGTGCGTTGGCCCAGATGAGCAAGGAGCTTGATCACATCGAACATAAGATCTAAGCAGCCATCGGCGAACCACAAAATAACAACTTCGACAGCTGGGGCGCATTCTTTAACATCGCCCCGCGTATCGTGCGTCCAAAGTTTACACGTAAATTCGTGATGCGCACGTCATTGGTGGATGCCAAGAGGTAGACATCTGTTAACTGCCCCGTGCGATATAGCAGTTTCAAAGCCACATTTCTTTGCACCGCGCTAGTAACAGTCTTGCCATAATCACTGATACAAAGCATGTGTATACACATGATATGCTCTCTCGTTTAGAATCTTCTTACTTCGTTTTGCCTATTGCTTGCTAACATGTAATATGATATTAGGATGTGACTGCAGTTTTAGGCTAGCCCTTCTTGACATATATTTAAAATTTGTTTATGAATACATATGCCTTTACATTGCACCTGTTGACATGACCAGCTCAAGCCGCAGTGTTTTACAAAACAAGCGTATGCTGCGGAAAATACAGTGCATATAATGGGCGGAATGGTTTGAGAGGTTGGGTGGATTGATAATTCACCTGATTGTAACACCAATTTACGGTACGATACCTTCGGGGCCACTCAAAATTTTCCATGTTTTATGAATTTCGATTTAAAAAAAAAAATAGTGGGTGGGTGCATCAAAATAAGTTATTGAAAATCGAAATTCACTCTTCATTTTAAAGAGGAAAGAAACCTTTTATTTTCTTTTGGACGTGCGTGAACTATGCGCGCCGCGCCAGCGTTCCGTATACACGTACGTATGCAATCTTTTTCAATTTCGTTCCGAGTTATGGATAGAATGACCTGTGCACATGTATCTTACGGTGTGAAATTCCTTGGGTGACGGTCGTACACCTATTTCATCAGGCTTGTTGGCTGCATCCGAATCTGTTGACTAGAACTAGGTCTCCACTCCATCTGAAATAGGCCTACATTTTTGGTTCTGAGGTTGCAATATTTTTCATGTTTTAATCATTGTGTTTTTTTGTGGAGAAGCGCAGACAGTGGCCTTTGCCGTAGCTGAAGGTGCGTAGAATCAAATATAAAACGGCCGTTATAAGTGATACTTTGCAAACTCTGCAGGCTTTCACGCCATCTTGAAGCAATTTGCAATTTGTGACGGAAGCACACGAGAAGCCTGCACGGCAAACCGGTTCCTACTGCTGGAATAGCGAGAATGACATGGAATGGCCGGGAGCCAGTGACCCCCAAGATAACATGACACATTCCGAACTCATACAGCCGTAAAACATGAAACGATCAAAAACTTAAGAAGTATTTTCGCGAGTTAATTAACAAAATCATGTTGCTGTCCATGCATAGGAAGTTTTATATCGAAAAAAAATCGAAATTTAAAAACATTGAACATTTTGAATAGCCCCTTACGATGCGTAATTAAATATTAAAGCATATGTAGGTAGTACGGACTACATATTTTTGGCTCGTTTTGTAGATAAAGATGTAAAAGATACATTTTCCTGCTTATTTTGTGCTTACAAATTTGATGATCCTTTGTTAACTTATGCATTTAAGAATCATGCATTTGCCTACACAGACAATGTTTATTAGGAATGCTGGTAATGCTAGAGGTTTGCTGAAGAAAGGGTAATATTTTCTTTGTACATGTAACACTGTTCTTTCTTTTTAGTAAAGCGTTCCACAGACAAGTTTCAGTTCACAGCGGCATGCAAATAAGTCTTACAGTAATACTGAGAAGACTGCCTTATTTGAGTCTCGTACCTCCACTTTCGTGAAAGATACCAACAACTTGTTATCAAACACTTTACTATTCTGTGACATGTATTTGAAAATGTGTAGGGCCTAGTGGTTATGTCAAAGACTAAAAAATGTCAAACGTCGGGAAAACTTGCTTCATTCGGTTTTTGATTTTTTCTGCACTATGATTTGCAGCCTGTTCCGCCTCAGTTTACCTAAACGGAGGCGGAATTATATTTGTACATCATATTTTCCTTTTTCAGGGGGCCTGGCGCGTAAGAATTTTTAGAATCAGGGCTTCAATGGAAGTTCCTGTTTGTAGTGCAGATTCTTCTATTAAATCGTTTGACGGCATATTTATTTCTTTTCGGCAGTGTATGCATCATAATTAGTGCAGAAAGTTCTTGAGCTTTGTGTTTGCCTTCAAAAATACGGTGTTCCCAGCTCACCAAGACCAACTAAAGGGGACAGCCACGTTATGTAAAGCGCCCTCAATTATAGTGCGACGTACTCACCAGGCACTGAGGATAGAATAATTCATAACACGTAATGAACAGTTTACTAATTAAAGATGAAGGGGATTTATTCACGTTAGGCCTATTGTTTGAAATAAAATGACTGATGAGTCTGTCTGCCTAGATCCCTGACTCAAATGCTCAGACACCAACTGGCATGATGTGGAACAAGTGAACTTATTAGCATCGTTTGTTGCTCTGCACGGACAATTTTGTACACCCATAGGTATTTTCCAATTGAGCGTTACATGCATTATATCTCACTATATATCGAGCCATCCAGAGTTGTTGGAATCTGTGCGAAATCATAAGTCTATACATGTAATCGTATACCTTTATTTAACAAAGCACACTTTTAAAGCTATACCGATACGCATAATAATAGAAAAAGGAAGCCGACGTTTTACCATACGGTTTCGAACATTAGGACAAGCTGTAAAAGACAGTGTCTGCATTAGGTCTCTGAGGTTTTGGTTTACCTGATTCATTTTAAGAATAAAATGCTTTCAGCTTTTTAGTGAGAGGTAACTTGTTGTGTCCATTGTATATATTCATTGACGAGTTGAGGTATGTATTCGCTGATCTGAAGTACGAGAGTAAGTCAAGAGTTGGAATAAATAAGACATTGTTATAATCGCCATTAAGGTTTCTTCAATGGTTTATGTATACAGAAAAATATGCTAGACTTTATGAACTCGTCTAATACATGTATTAGTCAAACCAATAATGCCTCTATAGGGGAAATGAATGCACTTCACGGGCATGTGCTCGCTGAGAGCACAAGAACATTGCAGACCAGATCGTTGGTCAAGTTCCGCCTGCGCTACGTTAACATTTGTACATGTATATGTACATGTATTCAATAAAATAATACACTACATGATATGTATATCTTTTCCTCATTCATTACAATTTTCTCTGTCGTAATCACAGGTGTCAGGTGTAGAAGGCTGGTCGTCCTCAGATGTTTCCAGTCGTTACACACAACTCAAGTTGTATACTGAATTCGGCCTCACCAGCTGCAAATGTCACATGACCGATTGTCATGTGACCATTACCTTTTTTCCTCTGATTGCAAAAATACATGTTTATTTTAATGACGATAGGAAATGGATTCCATTTGCTCTTTGTGTAAAGCACTGTTCAGAAATGGGGTCTGAACTTTCTTCTTCGACTTGCAGACAGCGTTTTGTAAACCAATATGGCATGGCGGCTATTGGATGACGCACACTGTGCTTTTATTCTGCTCTAATGTTGTTGGTAAGTTGGTCTTCTTGTTTTGATGTAGCCGATCGATCACCTAAAATTGAAAAAGAAAATACAGCAGTTGTGCATTTTGCAAAGCCAAAGGCATGCTCACTGTAGTGGAAATTGAAAAGTATTGAGTTAGGGCGGCTTGCTCTCATGTGTTCACGAACAGCTTGATTTGTTGTTCGTGGGTCGGCCGCTCGAACGCCGGGAACAAACAACCGGTTATCGCTGGTAGTTAGTGATAAGCAACATGCAACATGGTGCCGTCCATGTAGGCTAAGTTATTCGAGAGTTAATGTTTGGATGGGCTGAATTCTTTTTCATATAAACAGGAACATTCATTTCTGTGTTTCGGAAAATAACTATGCAGTAAACCCACAGAGGGCGGAATTCAACGAGTTCAAATTTGTTTTCAACCTTTGCAAATTCGCTACAGAATATTTGATTTGACGTCAAAAAATAATTTGCGTTCGTGTCTGTGTTAAGCATGTATCGTCTTAATCAAGCCTCACGTCCATAGTTTTTCATAAACTTGAGGGATAAAATTGTGTCATGTATACCATGTAAATCAATAAGTGTGTGTCTCAGTTTCGCAATGCTGGCTTTTAACTCAAACGCTCAACAAATCCCATCCCTATGCATGGAAGGGATAATCCTCCAGTAATTACAGCAAAAAATTTAAAAAACCGGAACTGAACTTAGTGGAGGTCTTTGGATGTGATGGATTCACCTGCCAGTTACACAGTCACCATACTGTCAGCTAAGTTACTCACCGCCAAGCATTCCATGAAATCCAGATCGCTAGACTCGTCATTGTCGATCTGTTTAACGATATCTCGCACTTGTTGCTTCGTAAAAAGTAAACTGCTTGTCTCCAAGATCTTCTCCAGTTCATCAGCGTCAATTGTCTGAGTGATTAACAGTAGGAATTAGTTGTTACTAAGTTTGATGTTGCACGTCTAGCACAAGTTAATAATCAAGAACCTTACCTCACCCAATATGTCCATCGAGAATTTGATGTCATGGAAAAGACCCCAGATATTGTCTGGGTCGACGCTTAAAGCTTTTGCATGCATAAGAATTTTCACACAAATTAGATATGTCGTTCTATATACTGCGGACCATCTTCAATGCTACACAGGGCAGATCCAGGACGTTCTGTTGGGAGATTTCGGGAGGTATGGTGAATCAATTCAATTTCTTTGTTTTGTTCTCAACCGTACACGCAAAATACACATGGTTTATGCGTTTTAAGGAGGTCTTCCAACCTTAAGACGTACATGTAGGCAATAATCAGGGGTCATCCACTTCTGGATTTTCGCCTACCATCAGAAATTGTTTAGATAATCATAAACAGAGGTCCCAATTCAACTATTCTTTGCGTCGTTGAGAATGTTCTTTACTATTGCCTGCTTTGGACTTTGAATATCGGCCAAGGTTAATTCGGAAAAGATCGTGAGACGCAGATGAAACCAAAGTTAATAAACCAAAGTATGTCTGTCAGGATATAACAGCTTCAGAATTTTTAATAATACAAAAATAAAAAAATAAGAAAATTCTCAGATCTACAGGGCAGGAGCTGGAAGCACTTGGTGTACACATAAATAGCTTGACTTAGATAAATTCCAATTACAATTTGATTTGTCCTTACACCTAAATCGACCAAATGACACATGTCCTCCTTAAATCTTTAAACTTACCCCGTCTTTATTGATGTCAGCTTCAACGAATTTCTTCTCTGCGGCAAGTAAAACAGACAGCTTCAGATTTGGATACGTCCTTGCAATTTCCTGCCAGTCAAACCAGATTTATCCCAAATTAATTCATATTCCACATCATGAAGAATTTGTATCAAAGGAAGTGTTGAAAAAAAGCTTAGAAAGGCATTCACTGTCACATAGGCCTACGTGTATTTTGAGTTTCCGTTTCTTGTTTTTACTTCTTACATCAAATAACCTCTAAACGTAAAAACACCAGCCTTTTACGAAAAATATGCTCGTTCCCTTTGTTCTGTAATAGTTAATCAAGGGTTCGTATCATCTCCTAGATATTGGTAAATCAGTAAGGTTAATAAACCAGGTATTCTCCATCTTTGAAATAAAATGTACATACAGGTTTGAAACTGACCTCATAATATTTGTAGGTGTCCTTGAGATGTCCTTCTTTTTCTACTTCCGATGACGTAACCTCAATCGTGGGTGCTTTTGCGCTCTTTCTTGGCTTCTGTCTGGAGTTGGCATGCTTAGCGGTCTTAGGTCTGGCTTTTCGCCCTCCCTTGGTTTAAAAATATTGTTAGCCAATTGATTATTAATTTGATTGGCGCTTCTTCAAATTGTAAGGTTATTAATGTGAGTGGAAGTTTTGGGCTTTTCCCTCAAAAGTCAATAACTTGCTCGGAAATGAAAGAGGTTTGAATACATGTAATGATGATTAATACCTTCGGCGTAGATACTGGTGTGCCCGACGGACTTGCAGACGGAGAATGCGCAGTAACAGATAGCTTCTTGGATTCTTTCTCAGCTTTCTTCAATGTCTTCAACTCAGACAGCTGAAAAATTGTTGAAAAATAGATATACCAATGAGTACGAAGTTATAAATTCCAAACATCGCTATGCTGAAGTAGGTCATCAGAAAGTTTAGTTATAAGTTTAACATATTAAGCAGCTTTTTAGAAACAAAACTGATATCGAAACGCTGATTTTTTTGCCTATACTTTTCACGCGAATATTGATTAATGACGGACAAGTGAATTGTTGGCGTATATTGTGTATCTTCCAAGTGTAACAGTACTGGAGCCAGGACAGAGTGACCGGTGACCTCTATAGAGGAGCTGCATGGAGCGCTCTCACAGAGGACATGTTAAGATTTATTGACTGCGAAGT